AGTTTCCTCGGTTAGCGGCTTGGCAGTGGGGAAAAGGGCCTCCGGGGATCCATATTACTTACGTGGACGTGCTATAAAAATACAATACTGAAAGTTACATGTATTGTTATCTCTTGTTATATCCTTGTAAGGGGGAATACCTGATACAACTGCTTCTCGATATTCGAATATAGAAAACAAGCGGGGTTCGGATTGCTTCTTTTGTTCTGGGCTCCGGAGCGGATCCTCTTAGAAGGCTTGTATAAAAAGCTTTGATAAAAAATACGTAATGTATACGGATGGGGTTGGGTTGGTGTACGTGGACTAATGGCCCCTGGAATGATCGGTTCGTTGTTCGTAGATTGGATTATTTTGGGATTGGGAGTTTCGGCGACACATGTCAGCTTTGATCTTTTGTGTTATTCGGGTTGGATTGGTGATTCTGGGGGTTGCACCACGTTTGACATATGAAAGCGATATATCACAGCTGTGGTCATGGATACTTGATAGGTCCTCTTCTGCTGGGTGTGCCGAAAGCAGTACACGATCCCACTTCATCTAATCTCCTATCTATCCGCTGTAGATCCCTGTGTCGAATGGTACACAGTGCACTCCGAACTCCGGACTCCGTATAGAAATGTTAGATGTTACTAGGAGAATCTCACACGTGTGAGTTTCATTCGTTCAAAACATTGCATAAAATATGAATGATTAATCAACCATGCGATGTTTGTGGTAGGTGTGCTAGAATAGATCCTGCAACAAAGCTAGCCTGCGTAGGCTCTGACGACGCAATATGCGCCACCGCTGTACCCGAACCAATCCCCCAATTTCAATTCACTGGCGTACACGACGACTACATAATGCTTCTGCTCAGCCACATGCACGTGGCTTTTAGCTTTGAGCTTTATCGGAGTGTCTGAAATCTTGGAACTCCGATCCATTGGGTACACCTCACGAACAGGATAAGTCACCTGCGCGATTCAGGTGTCTGAAATTGGCTAGCGGGTAACTGGGTGTTCATCCATGGACCCGTTCCCGAGACACGTTACATGGTTGGAGTGTCTGGCTCTTCCCGAACCTTCAACGAGAATTGAAATTGATGTTGAGGTTGAGCATACGAAACTGATACGGCTACGATCTCGGAGTTATGGTATTTAGCGGCAGCCACATCCCCTTAGTCTTGTGGGCATATGACGCGGCCCGTGAGAAATACCCGTACCGTCACTTATGTGGATTACACGTATTTGGAGAAAAGCAGAAAACAACAATCAAGGTTTTCCGCAGCAATAGTTAGACGATCGAAATCTTTTGGGGGGAAGATTCTGATCTTGGGGGGAGATGGTGATCGTTTTACCGTGATTTTGCTCATATAATGTCGAATTCCCGAACACCTCTTTTTCCCCCGGCAACTTAAGCAACTGGCACAGTTCTTAGCAGGACTGGGCACCTTGGCGCTGGACGGGTGTTGGTCGAATTGCCCGTGACTAAGCACTGTGTTTAGCTTTAAATAGATTTTGACCAATGAACATAGAAGATCAACATAATGTATGCCCCACTGTAAATGCAAAAAGCATGCATTGACAGGTGGAGAGGGATTCGTACACACTGCTTGTTCACCTTGGGCCTCTCGGCCTCTTGGGCCTTAGATGATTATTCTTCTTGGCCTGAAATTTTCTATACTTCTCCATGATTTGCCTTCAACGGATCTTCCCTTGCATACATTCTGCTGGGTGATTTCTTTTTGTTTGACTCTCCAAGGTTCTCGTATCTTGCATCGGGAAGTGGTGCGAAGAACCTATGGGCGCCTCCATACTGTCCTCTTTGAGGACTGCGCCGGCGCTCTTCTATCTTGGTATTCTTTGGTTGTGCGCTATTGATAGTGCGCTTGGAGAGGAAACCTCTTTTTATAAATCGGTAAGTGGAATCAATCCGCCTCTCAAGTATGCGTTTGCTGAAATTATTATCGGCGCAATAGAGACCCGACATATACCCACCCGTCTTCAATGTCGAAAAGTCCGACCCAGACAAGCTCAGCCCGGGCTACATCTTCATCACACCATACGAACTCCAGAATCCCGGCCCGTACATTTATGATAACACAGGGGTAGGTTTTTATTTTGCGGAGTTGAGGGCTGAATATGGGAAAACTAACACGCTATTCGATCGACAGGAATTAGTATGGAGCGGCTGGGGTATTTCAGGACCAGGCAACGCCCATGGCCTCCACGTGTGCAAATATAACGGCGCCGATCACCTATGCTTCTTCCAGGGCAACCAGCAAAAGGGATACTGCCGTGGCCATGGTATCATCATGGATAAAAACTACCGAGTTGTGCGCTCAGTTCAGCCCGGTGGAGGAATGGCCTCTAGCGACATGCACGAATTCCGTCCCATCAACGATGGCAAAACCGCTCTCATGACGATCTACCAGCAACGCCAATTCGACATGACACCGTGGAACATCAAAACTGGAGTAGGATGGGTTATGGAGAGTGTGTTTCAGGAAATTGATGTGGAGACCAACAAGGTCCTGTTTGAATGGCGGTCTCTGGATCATGTCGATCCATCGTCGAGCTATACATGGCCCTCTCATACGGATACTTCTGGAACCGGATTGAACGTGCATGAGCCTTGGGATTACTTCCACATCAACTCCGTCGATAAAAATGCCGCCGGTGACTATTTGATTTCGTCGCGTCATACTTCTGCCATCTACAAGATCTCTGGTAAGGACGGCTCGGTGATGTGGCGGCTTCACGGTGCGCAGCCCTCTTTCCGGAATATCAATTTTAGCTTTTCGCAGCAGCACGATGCTCGGTGGTTACATGAGAATGCTACACATACCATTCTCTCACTTTACAACAATGGCTATAACGGCTTCAACAAGACTCATACCTATTCAGCGGGCATGATCGTCATGATTGACCATGTGGAAAAAACCGCCACCCAGATCCGCGATTATGCCCCCATTAAAGACGACCTAGTGAGCTCTAGCCAAGGAAACCTGCAGGTGCTCCCTAACAAAAATGCTTTCATCGGATGGGGAAATAACCCATTCGTGTCCGAGCACGATGAGGCGGGTAATCTACTATTCTGGGGCTCTTTCGCTAAAGACACCGTGATGAACTACCGAGCAATGAAATTTGAATGGGACGGTGTACCGACAGACTCACCTGCCCTATGGACATACTCCAAAAACGCGGAACCATCCTCTTCCACCAGCTTCTATGTCAGTTGGAACGGCGCAACCCGCGTTAAAACGTGGCGATTTTGGGGGTCGATGAACATAACTGGACCTTGGACCTTGCTGGACGAGGTTTCCAAAACCGGCTTTGAGACTGAATACACTGGATCCAGATTCTTCCTTTGGTCTAAGGTAGAAGCATTGGATCGCGAGGGCATTGTGCTGGGAAAGTCTGAAATCAAGTATACTTTCGTGCCCTCGTCCGAGCTGCGCGAATTCTGCGCTGACTCTACCTGCTTGGATGCACCGGGATATGGATTCCCCGGTGAAGACGCAGCCCGTCCTTTGATTCCACCAGTAGGTGTTAATACTGTGCCGTGGATCGACCCCGACAACCCGGGCTCCAATATCTGGACACATCCCTCGGGCTATCCACAACCTTCTAATGCTCCAAAGTACTCGGACGGGTGGAGCTATGGCCGTGAGTACATCCCGAACATGATTTCGATCTCATCAAATAGAGTAAGCAAAACTGACTATTTCATAGGTCTACTTGGCTGGGGTGCCGTTCTCATCGTGGTGATCCCCCTCTTCGGTGGAGTCTTCCTCGCACATCGATACTACGCCAGACATTGGTTCAACCAACTGCAGGACCAGGAATCTTCTGGATGTATGGGCGGTATTGCTGAGCGGAAAAACCCTCCCGTGCAGGCCACCGCCCTGCCCTGGTGGAATTGGCACCGGTGGATCGGAGAGGACGAGGCAACATCCTATTTCCCGCTCGGCGAGCGGAGTATATACGGTCACAGGCGTGAGCGAGAGCGGAACGAATAGTGACTCCTCATTCTTTACTCTTTTTTAATTCATCTTTACATCTATAACGTTAGGTACTCAGCGCTGTACATATATACTACCATAACACAGAACGCATATACCCATTCATACATATACGTATTATATCTCGTATAACCAAATAGGAAAACATATTTTATGCTATAGATTTGAGTATACGTACCTCTGGAGCGGGGCGGAACTGCTCCATACTTTCGCGCTGGGCATTCAGTCTTCGAATGGATTGCGTCTGTAGAGGAATAATATGATCTCCTTGGAATTTATCGAAGTATTCTTTTCCCTAGTGTTATTGAATGTGGACAAAATGTTTACATTCTCAGCGCCACTGTTGCGGCCGGTGTTGTTCGCTCCAGAATCTTGATGGATTACTAGTTATTATTTGGATATTTCTGTACGGAGTATTGTATTTATATTGTTCACCAGCAAGCAGTAGAATATTCCCTCTATTAGTTCCACACAGTCCCGAATACCCTTTTAATCACGCTATGCTCAACATAAAAAGGCGGAATAAGCTTCTTCACCATACGATCCCACGAGGCTCTCCAGGGTGGATTAAACAAGGCATGGTAGAACTCCCAATACTCCAGCCAAAATCCCGCTAGGCCCCAGTCCAACAGAACAGCCGTTCCATCGGCCCAAACAATGAGATTCCCTGGATGTAAATCCCCGTGTGTAAACACGATCCTGTGGGGCTTGAGACCACGGACCGTCTGATACAGCATGTACTCGCTGTTGAAAAAGTGGATGTGATTGGTTCCCACCATGCTAGATTGAGCTAGTGTATGAGGGTACCTATCTATATTTAGATTTCCATCAACTGTAAGTGATCCATTTGACGTCTACCTAACACCTCAATACGCGCCGAGGCACCCCGTGAGGCTTTTATCACCAGACCAACAATAACTTGAAGTTGTCTACTATCGTTGATTCCTTGCACGGATATAGATACATACATAGTCACTTTACTCTATCAGTGTTAATAATGAAATCCCCTACTCACGGCATTTCAATAAACATCTACGGCCGCGGCGATGCCAAACTTGGCGATGGACCCTCTCACATGGGAATCGCCTTCTACAAACATGGCTCCTCAACCTGCGAAATGCACCATATACGCAACCCTATAGAGGAAGTCTTCGTCTACGATCCACGGCCACAGCCACTCGAAGACCCGGTTCTGAAAGGTCGTTGCGAGCTTGGTTCTCTCTCCTCTGAACAGAGCGTACAAGCTGCTAGCCTACTCTCTGCCTTTGGGAATGATGAATCTAACATCCCCGAGTTCGGGGTTGGAAATTGCCAAGACTGAATTGCTGGTGCTGTTGGAATGCTTGAGCATGCTGGTGTTGTTTCCTCCGGAGAAGGGTCATTCTGGAAGAATATGATTAACAGAAGTTCGGAGGAAATGAAGAATGAGTGTCTTCGGGCGGGGAAGACATGGATAGATGGTCCGGAGTCAACGTATGAAGAGGAACCTGATGCAAAGTTTGTGGATAAAGAACAGGGTACAGTGAAGCCGGTTGGGAAGTTGGCTCAGAATGATGTCTTCCGGGCGCGAATGCAGTCGCTTCTGGGCTCTAAGGGGAGTGGAGGGAGTGATATTGATGAAACGCCTGTAGAACGGCCGTTTTATGTGTCGAGTCCTTTCTTTAGTAAGATGGCCGAGAGAAGTGATTGAGTGTATTGCTAGCATTACATCACCATCACTTCAAACAGCATACGGAGCTATAGAAGCTGTATCTAGGGTAGGATGGAGTCAACGAGTGGCATGCCATCTCTTTAGCCACGATGCTCCGCCTGTCACCGGCAGGACTGGACTGTGGATGCGTCTGGATCGAGGAAGCCAAGCTTCCATAGAACCATGGGTTCTCCTTGGCCATGCTCATGGACCGCATTGGGGCGGACGCATGAAGAGGCGACCTTCGTCAAACCGGCGAGTCGCCCACGCAAAGTTACAGGGTGGAAAACTAGTCGACTGTTTTTGGCTGACAAAGCGGTGATTTTCGGCGTCAATTTCACAGGTTCTCCCATCTGGGAGAAGTTACTACGCACTGGGTACACGTACCTCCGGAGCGAGGCGGAGCTGTTCGGTAGTTTCGCGCTGAGCGTTCATCTTTCGTATTGACTACTTTGTAGAGGAATAATTACGACGCTAGGTTTTTATGTCGGTTTTGGATAATACGGATATAACACGGATACGATATATATACATACAGGTATACATCAATTGATATTTACATACACAGTCCTCCGTACGTAAGTTACAAGTGTTTATTTCTACGTCGATCAAAGTATGCAAAAGGCTATCCATGGATGTACTGTTTCCACTTCGGAAATTTCATGACCTTGATTATGCGACTTGTTGTCAAGCCCTAGCATCGCCTTGTAGGGTTGAGTATGTTAGCCTTGCAATAGGCTGTGGCGGGATTGTCTTCTACTATGTAAGGTTTGTATTGTAAGGGATGTATCAAAGCTTTATTCCGGTGACGTGGAATGTGGCTGAAACGCTTGAACTGTCGGCGCTAGGTTGCCGCCAGTGGCTCTAGAACGTTGGTGGATACTACGGATTAATTTAAAATCTTTTCATCTTTTAGAAGAAATGGATTTTTGTATCACATTTAATGTGATCAGGCTTAAAAAGGATAATACTCCCGACCCCACTTAGACAATTATGAACTAATACGGATACGCTTCATACAAAAGTACACAAGTACACATCTAAAAATGCATTATCTGTATGAATCTGATAAAACTCGGATTGTAACAGACATGCTCCACAGAGTACGGAGTAAGTGAAGCTGAAATTACTTCTCCACCACGGTTCATACCTTATATGCCAAGACTTCCGTCGCCAAAACGGATGTATTGAATTGGCGAGTCATGGCTTGAGGGAGGAGGGCTCGGCAGGGAGGTGTGGAGCGGTCGTCGCAAGCTAGGTGTCGTTGTCGATCTATGTATCAAAGATAGTGTATGTATCATATGGGATATTGACTTATTTTAAGGAATTTGATGTAAAAATAAATGAAAACTACTCCGTCTATTGTTAATATATTGTCATATTCTTTATATTGAATATCAAAAAAGTGATCTTGGTTGTATCTAAAGTAATAATCCACGGCATTCCCCGGGCTCTCTGGTGGGCCTCAAATCAAAGTACCGAGAAAAACGGACGTCATCGTCAAAATCCCCTGGACGATACTCCGTACAAACAGGAGAAATGGAAGTAAAATCAAAAATACAAAAAATAGCTCTTTTCTCTTCCAAGGCTCTTTCTATATATTCTCGGGGCCGATTATAATTACCCAAACTACGAAAAATACGTGAAACCAAAGGAGCCTACCACTCCTTTCGATCCTTACGACGCCTCGGTTTACACTAGTACATTCCCCAATGCCTGCCAGGACCGGAACCCATAAAACGAATAATGCCCGCCACGCGCGTACGACGTCCTGGTCGAGTGGCTTCCATTTCACCCAAGGCACCGAACCATCCGAAAACGCCAAAGGTCGCCGCCGACGCGAGTCCAATACCTCCCTCGCCAGCCTTGAAGAACGCTCCTCCTCCCCCGACTCGCTCGCCATCGATGATAATATGTTAAGGAATACCTCGATGGATCTAGGTGGTGATCGCAAAACACAGCATGTGCGCGGCCGTTCCATTAGCCATGGCCTGCCACAAGTACCCGCCCTGCAGGAACATGAACTCCCGACTGTGCGGGCGCCAGCTCGCCCCGCGCTCGTAACGTGGATGTCACTGCCGCGGAAGGGTCAATTAGCGCTGCTGGGCCTCTGTCGTGTCTTTGATTTCTTGCAGATCGCTTCGCTACAGGCATACATGTTCTACCAGCTCAAGTCTTTCGACCCCAACCTCTCAGACTCGGATGTTGCGACCCAGGCGGGAATTCTCCAGGGTGCTTTTACCGCTGCTCAGTTTGCGACGGCGATCCCCTGGGGTCGTGTTGCCGATGCTAAATGGGGTGGTCGGAAGTTCGTTTTACTTGTTGGTTTGATTGGTACTGCGATTTCTTGTTTAGGTGTCGCCTATTCGACGTCGTTCGCGCAGGCCGTGTTTTGGCGCTCGTTTGGTGGCGGCATCAACGGCACCGTTGGTATTATTCGAACTATGATTGCGGAGAATGTTAAGGAGAAGAAATACCACTCGCGCGCTTTCTTGATTTTGCCTATTGGCTTCAACATAGCTTCGTTATTTGGTCCTGGTGAGTACCTTACTCCGTTAATTCTATTCGCGACTATGCGACAATCCGCTAACCAGTTTCGCAGTGATGGGTGGCATGTTGGCTGATCCCGTTAAGAGCTATCCCCGTCTCTTTGGTCCTAATTCTTCCTTTGGAGGTGCGAACGGAGTGCAATGGCTCGAGAAGTACCCTTATGCACTGCCAATGTTCGCGAACTTCTGTTTCCTCTCTTCAACTGCAGTTTTGGTTGCGTATGGATTAGAAGAGACCTTGGCATCTTGCAAGGGCAAGCCTGGCCTAGGTGCATTCGCTAAGAAGCTCCTCGCACGCGCCATGAAGACGGTAGTCCCCGCTTCGTCGCCCTTGTACACAAGGCTCCCGCTCCGCGACTACGAAGAGGGTGGTCCTTTGCTGGGCCAGCCCATGGACCGCTCGGAGAGCTACGAGCTTGAAGAAAAGGCACACAAGCCTGTCCGACTCCAACGTGTATTGCCTTTCCGCAGAATCTGGACAAAGAACGTGTTGTGCACACTCGGCGCGCAGGCTTTCTTCGACTTCCAAATGGGTGCCTTCAACAACCTATGGCTACTCTTCCTTTCCACACCTCGCTATGACGCCAATGACCCCGCGAGTCCCGCCCAGAGCTTGCCATTCGCCTTCACCGGCGGTCTGGGCATGCTGCCGCAGAGCGTTGGTTTCGCGACCGCAATTTTGGGTGTTATTGGCATGGTCCTCCAATTTACCATCTACCCTACCATCAACGGCCGTCTGGGTACAGCCAAGAGCTACCAGTATTTCCTCTCTCTTTTCCCCATCGCATACTTCATTGCCCCATATATCTCGCTGGCTCCATCTACAATTCCTCCTCCTGGCCAAGCCAACGGCCCATGGGTCTGGTTCTGGATCATCATCGTCCTCTTCTTCCAGGTCACTGCTCGAACCTTCACTCTTCCCACCTCTATCATTCTGTTGAACAACTGCTCGCCTCACCCATCGGTCCTCGGCACAATTCACGGAATTGGCCAGTCCGTCTCGTCGGCCTTCCGTACCGTTGGACCTATCTTTTCAGGTGCGTGGTACGGATATGGCTTGGACATTGGCATGGTCGGCTTTGCGTGGTGGATGATTGCATTGGTATCCGTGTTTGGCTGTCTTGCAGCTATCTTCGTATATGAAGGTTCTGGACATGAGATTCTTCTTCCTGGTGAGGAAGAAGAGATCTGATGTGATGCGATATGAGAGTACCTTTTTTTTTTGAAGAGTTGGGTTGTACATTGCTTCAACATTTTGCATATCATAAGGTGTTGGTTGGTCGGGCTTCTCTTTCATACATATTCCCGTTTCTATTTTTTTTTTTTTTTTTGTTTTGGATACCATTTGCTTTACGTCTTTCGCTATATCACAGCATTTTCATTTTGTCTTCCTATGCATGTTACAATAGAAGAATCCAGATACTCCGCTCTGGTCAGTTGATCCACGGATCAAATTGAATAGAAGCCAATATACCATACATCATCTTTCCAAACTTGACCATTCCAACAACTTTGGTGTATTATAGAAATTGAATCCGTCCTTATTTTTTTTTAAAAAAGTTTATCTTTCATTTCAATCTTGAAATCATATCTCTTCACAAGAATTCAACTCTCACAAGCTAGCTCCATATCCCTTGGCATAGCTCGCGTCGAAAGTCTCCTTATTGACTGCATATTCGCGAATATAGTCTCTCTCAAGATCATGCGTCCTCCGACCAAGAAGGACAAGACTGTGCAACGGCGCGCCCATCTCAACAGTAGCCAATTCCTTAAGCGTACCAGAAACAAGCTGCTGATTAGCAGCGCCAACGCGCGCCGCACCAACAGCCAAACTATCCGGCCCATAGACACCCTCCTGTCGCTCCTCCTCAGTCTCCAGCATCTGTGCCGCACATTGGGCAACAGTCATGTAACGAGGGGGCTCGAAAATCCGACGACCGCGCGCCATGTTTTCCAGCGACTGCTCCTTGACCTTAATATCGAGCAGAACTAGTGTGTGTAGGCCGATCTGAACGTTCTCGCGCACGCGGTCATAGTACGAAGACGGCTTCCAGGTCTCAGTGAAGAAAACCATGCTGACTGTTTGTCCGAAGTTGTACAGCTGCAGTCCGGTGCAGCCGATTCCGGACATGATGGAGGCGTTAGGGACGACTTTGGTCTCGATGCCAAGTTCGCGCGCGCGGAGGACGAGGTCGGTATGCGTTGTTGCGCTGTGTGGGTGGTGGTGTTAGCTATGGATTTTGCTGGGAAAATGAATGAAGACCGTACCCGAATGGATCTCCCACTACCAGGAATACAATATCGGCTTTGTCACCGCCGGCGAGGATGTCATCGCTGCCGGTCTCGACGAGTTCACGGTCTGCCTCAATGACAGGGCGGCCATAGAACGCTTCCTACTGGTATTATGTTTAATCAGTCCATCTGCGCAAGATATATGCAATGTTCCATTGGGATATGTGATCGAAGACAAGAACTTGGAAGTCAACTCACCAGCTTTTCCTTATCGACAAGAAGAATACTCGTGTATGCCTCTAGATAGACTCTCTCGGCCCGCTTCACGATCTCTAGACCGCGGACGGTGATATCCGTCTCATCGGCGAGACCAAGTCCAACCAGGTGAAGCATATTGGCTTTGGGAACTCAGGTTATGCAATTGAGTAGAATACAATGAATCTCACTGACCAACAAACAGTCCGAAAAAAAGAACTCCGTGCCCCGCGATACCGGCAGAATACTCCGCCACCGCCGGATCAAGGAATATCCGGTTATCGCTTATCTCCCCCAGATCGGCCTGTGCTTCTTCGAACGTCCAGAGCTTCATCCTCCTTGCGCCATCTTCTCTCACTTTGCCTCGAATCAATTCATCAGCACTCACTCCTACTGGTTGAACACCGGTGGAAGCCTCATCTCAATCGTTAAAGAAATTCCCCCTGGTAGGGTTACCGCCATCCATCATGAGCTCCGATCGGAATCCGAAGTATCGGCAGGAGATACAACAGGTGAGTCTCTCCCCGATATTTGGCTCATTTTGCTTGGGGCTTTCGGTCTCTTGATCTTTCTGGCTCTCGAATACTTCGATTTTATCGTCCGATCCGGCCTCCAAAGGTCTCTCAACATATTGCGACTGTCGGCGGGCTTTGCGACACAACATAATGCGCGGCGCGAACACATTGTCTCGGCGGATAGGGCCACATCCCCCTCGACTTCCCTCGTCCCATGGGAGAAAGTCACCCCACGAAGCTTAAAGCTGCTCTTCAGGCTATGAAACATGATGTCTATGGAGGGTCTGGCTGGGCTTGCGACATATCACTTGCTTTCGAATGTACTCATTTACTAGAGGCCATGTCATTCTTGTTATCTTGGGAAATTTTTTTCATAACGAATGTCGATATTGGGAGCAAATAACTGTCTTCATGTTGTGTCACAGTCCAGCCGGGCCTTTTAGTCCTGCATTCCTTGGTTGTTGTGATGCACATATCTTGATGTCAAGGAAAAAACCACGGCAATAGTCAAAATACCTGGATCCTCTCTGCAACTTTGCAACTGGTCCTACCAATGACACAGCTTTGGTGTTGGATGGATGAGGGATACTGTTGTGAAGACCAAGGACGATTTCGAAGTTCCTAGGGTCAGGAGTGAGCTTCTTATCGATATCGACTCTGCGAGGGCTCCCACTTAGCCTATCGATTTGCAGATGTGTTTTGATATCTCACTTGTATCTCACTTGTTTTTCACCTTCACCCCTTCTCGCCATCTGTCAGCCTTCCCATATCATTCACTGCCTTGCTTCCGCTTTCGATCGTCTTATCTTGTCAATACCTCTGTCAAACCCACCCACAAACGTTCTCACGCACCCTTTGACATTCGATCCATTCGCTGTGTTAAACACTTTATATGGGTGCTCATTCACCCACCATGTCTTTTCCCAATCCGAACGCCATATCAATCGTTGAGCTCTGGATGCAGCTTCGGGATGAATTTGCACGAAGCCAGGAAGAATCTATGCTATGCGATCCTGATAGGACCTTGAGTGACCCAGATTGCACCATGACCTCCCCCGTGGATGCCCCTCGTGTAGTTTCAGACTCGGGCTTGCATTCACCTGGCGGTATTTTCGTTCATTCTGCCGAAGACGTCTGTGTTGCAAATCAAGATGGTCTGTCGGTCGACCCCGAGTCAGACTTCTTCGTCATGGGACAGTACTTTCACGAGCATTATACCCATATCTTCAACTCGTTCACTTTCCAGATGGACAGTGCCACGATCAGCTCCCAAACCAATTCCGAGAGCCAGAAAGATCATGAGATGAAGCAAAAAGACACAACTGGAGGCTCCTTTACTAACGACATTATTAAGATGATGTTTGTCTCCGGAGAGACAGCAGAGCCGTCCCCTGAGACTACCACTTTGATCGAAGAGATTACCCGACAACAAGTGATCGAAATTGTGGGTACTAGGAATTCTGCATTGAAAGCTCTCGTCACTAACGATCAAATAGCTTACCCGCAGCACCGCCTTGGCAACTCGCCGTGGAGTTCGCTCGATTTCTACTGACGACCTAATTTTCCTGATTCGCCACGATAAGGCTAAGGTCTCCCGTCTACGAACCTTTCTATCCTGGAAGGACGTCCGCAAGAACGTCAAGGATTCCGACGACAAGGGTGGTGGTGACGCCGCCGATTTTGCTGCCGCCGATGATGCAGCTGGTGTTGTTGCAGGCCCCGCAGACGTGGCCCCCAAGCCCAAGAACAAGCGCGCCAAGGTGGGACTTGCGTGGGATGTCAACAGTTTCTACTCCGTCCAGGTCCCCGAGCGCGAAGACGAAGAGGACGAAGAAGAGGAAGAGCAGAACTACGCGACCCTCCAGCGTCTTGCAGCCGCTGATGAACGCACCCGCCACATGACCAGAGAGGAGTATGTATTCTGGTCCGAGTGTCGCCAGGCTTCCTTCACCTACCGCAAGAGCAAGCGATTCCGCGAGTGGGCAGGCTTCGGCATCGTGACCGAATCCAAACCAAACGACGACATTGTTGACATCCTCGGATTCCTTACCTTCGAGATCGTCCAGACTCTGACTGAGGAGGCTCTCAAAGTCAAAGAGCGCGAAGATAACGAGAAGCACCGTCGCGGAGGCGCCGAAGCTGGCGAGAACATGAAGAAACGGAAGCGCGAGACCGGCCTGTTCGACCCGCCCGAGGAGGGGCGCACTCCCATTGAGCCACGACACGTTCGTGAGGCCTATCGCAAGCTGCAGGCTACTCCCCAAAAGGCCAAAGCTATGCTGTTGCACAACGGCCGTGTTCCTTACCGTTTCCCTCTTGCTTTGGTGAGTTTATATACACTGTCGCTATATGTTCTTATGCTAACAATGCCACCAGATTTAACTGTTCGCTAACTTCGGTGTCAATTCTAAATTGACAGCCCTTCATGAATTATGCGCATGGCAGCGGGAGTTTGCGGATGATACCCATTTTATCTTGTTTCATTTGTGGCGGCGACGGAGCGAAGCTCCCTTGGGTGTTGTTTCTCAATTCACCTTTTTCTATATACTTGATGCCTGAATAGTTCGGTACTGTACCTTTGCTTGTACATTCCTGTACACTTTATCTCTGTCCTAATTGTTTATTCAATCATTTTCTCCTAAATTGCAAATTATGCAGTAAGAAAAAGGAAGACGTGACTAATTGGAAGAGAGTGATCGACTATGAAAAGTAGAGTTGATAGACATTCTGATTCCGATGCCATATCTGAATCACGCCCATTGACAGGCTTAGACCAGTCCGCACTCAATCACACTTTCTACACCCTTTCCGCCATCCCATATTTTGACAACTTTCAAACCCGCCCTCCTCTCAATCAAGTCATACCACGCTGCGCTAGTCCGCTCTTCAGCAGAGAATAGGGTTAACATCATCATATCGAGTCCCGTAGTCTCCCAATGGGCACCGATGTTCGGGACAACGTTCTCGTTGAGCAATAGTCTGCTGTATCCAGGCTTCATGGCCTCTTTCACTCGTGTAAGTACAATTTCACACACATTGTCCGACCAGTTATGTAGAGTTGAGTGTATATAATAGACACGGGCACCTGGGAATAGTATAAGTAACACCATTCGAAATTGATATTCCGACAGGGTTGGAACAGGAGGAGCTCTGGGCTCTTACCTTTGACAGGCTGTTCATCATGGAAGTCATAACCCATTCGGACGATAGCCGGATCTAGATCCTTGATCTGGTCAATCATCATAGGCAAATCTTGAAGAATCAATTTCCCGGGGGCGTTCGGATAGCGACTCTGGAATCTCTCTAAGTCATGTCCCACGTTGCCACCTATGTCCACCAGGAATGGTGCATCTGGACTAGAATCGGCACCGTCAATGAGCCTCTCCTTCACAGGATAGACTCTAGGGTCCATCCAGAGTGGTCGACCTAGGTTATAACCACCAAGGTAATCGTTCAGGTGATCTCCATACCCCAAATCCCGTACCCAAGGAAATATGTTCTTGTCGGTACCATAGGCATACATTAGAGATGTGTCCCAGGGATCTGTCGGATTCACCCAACCCCGCTTACGGGAAAACTCGTGGAATTTCAAGGTTCCTGCACCGGTGGATGCGGTACTAATGGATGAGCAAGAAGTATCAGCCGCACTGTTATTTTGTGGGCTTTCACTGACGGTCGAATTAGTACTTACAGACCGAGATACCCATGCCCAATCTGAGGAAGGCTCAGCGCCTTGGTATAATTTGTAGGCTGGTACTCATCTTCCCCAACTTCAATAAGGAGTCCCATAGCACTAACATGCCGCATCAAACGACCTAGAAAACAGTTAGCCAGACCTCTGAGACGGGTGATGTGAAGCCCACTGAGAAGTTGGGAATCAATCCCAAGGCCCGCGGCCAAATCGGTAACTTTCTGGGGTTGATCGCCATTCTGAGCCATCAACGCCCATAATCCCGAGTCCACTCCGAACCCTATCGCCCCGATTGCACCCATCTATAATATCAGTTATTCTGTTCAGTTGATGGACTGTAGAACTTATATATATATACCTGTCCCCAACAGTGGTCAACCATCGTCTCCCGAGGAGTCTCGATAGCTCTAGCTAAAGCTCGACATTTGACTACCACATCCTTGCGGTCCTCCTCGGTTCCAGTAGATAGATTATTGACACCTTCGATAACCTCATCCAGCAAACCAGGGATTGCTCCAGCTCTGTTTGGACGCGTGGCGATAAGAAGGTCAACAGGAACTGAAGTATTCTTTGGGTTCTCGGCTGCCATGCTGATGAATATAGAGGCCAAAACTAGCACTAATGAGATATACAATATATTCAGAAATGAGTTTAGGATGATGGAACTGACAGCGCATTTAGTTCGGAGTCATGAGGGTAAATCTTATTAGTCCTTTTGTCCTTGATTTGTCGATGCCTGACTAGTACAACCAGGAAGGGTCTGTGTGAATAAGTGGCAGTCCACCAGTACGTCATCCTAGAAAGTAAATGTAGTCATGGACAAATAGGGACATAATCGACATATCCAATATCGACCTTAAGAGTCCGAGCTACGAAATTTGTCCGATCTACGGTTTTGATTTGATATTATCAGTGATCATTGCGCCACTGGAACCCTCGTGACAGCCATAAAAAGAGTCAAAATACCAGAGCATGGGGGTGTCTAGTGTAATAATCACATAAACACATGTGCGGTCAATATCGAGATAGAGTTCCAGATTTAAAACTGATACTAGCATAATTGATTTCACATAAATCGGATGTGGTTCAAACTTCATACTGTGAATTGGAAGTGAATATATATATTAAGCAAGACGATGCAGGTGGCCTATGTCATCTAAGAAGACCTAAAAATAGCAGTTAAAAGAACATCTAAAGATTACCAAAAAGACGCAAGGTCGCGTAAGCGGCCCACTTTTCTCATTCACCCCTAAAACGGAAAAGGGATACTGTAGACATCTTATATATCCAAACCTTCAAAGGTTTAGCTGTTGTGTAATGTAATGGCTAGCTAGACCAGGATATTGGAATGTGCCGGAATACGTTTGGTTGCACAAAGACGATGCGCACAGACGACAATGTAATGGTCTTGATCCAACACGCTGGGACTCTTTAGCCATTTGCTAAAAGGTCAATGTAATAACTCACAGCGGCACCACAGTGCACTGGAAAAAGAGCTACGAGATCCTAGAGGGGGCCAATGTTGGCTCAGCCATTGAGCTGTTACTCCTCGCCATAGGTCTCCCTTGCATGAGATTCCTCTATGTTACAGGTGTTCAGCATTGGGACTCTCATGAAGAGCAGGATGTTGCGAATGAGCTCTCAGTCCCCGATGCTATCGCGTATAGCCAGACTAAATTCGTCGCCGAAGCTGTCGTCAGGCGCGCGGTGCAGCGCAGCCCATCCGAAACCAATCAGTTCGTTGTTTTTAACCCGGGATGGGTCATTGGCACACCGACTGAGGGTTTTTCTAACCCCGATGACTATATCTGGCGGCTAGCGGCGACGTGTATCAACATAGGGGCATACAATGCTGCTGAAGCGGACGGGTGGCTCTCCATATCAGATGTCACAGCCACAGCCACAGCGATTATTGACACAGTGCTGAGCAAAGAAACCAAGAGAGTGAACGGGAAAGAGCCCGTGAATGGCATGACATGGAGGGAGCTCTGGGGTATTCTCGAGAGCCTAGGTTATAGGCTTCAGGCTAATGGCAGAGTGGCTGGCTCTCATTCGTGCTGATATTGAAGCTGCAAAGAAGAAACATCCCCTATGGCCGTTAGCACACATGATTACGGGATTTCAGAACGATGAGCGAATGGTGGGTAGCTCGCGACAGAAGCGTGGTAGCACGCCGTTGCGATTTAAAGATGCTGTAAAAAGGAGCGCCGAGTTCCTTGTCAAAGCTGGCTTTTTACCCACGCCTTCAGAACAGGTTTAAGAGACAATATAGGGTGGATGCAAGGGACATATTTGGAGCAGAAAATGCCAAGCAAAAGGACAATTGGGGACGTAGCATATTTACTATTAAAGGTTATACGAAGAAAAGTCTCTTGCACAGAATATGGCTTTTGACCGCATTCTTATATATCTAAAAAGAGCATCTAAAATAGCACCAAAAAGGCCAGCAAAAAGGATATAACAAGGCCGCATAAGCGGCCCACTATGTCTATTCAAATTGAAGTTTTTATTTCTGCTTAGAGCGTTATATACCTCCCAATGAGGCAGGATATTCTTGTTTCGAGCTGCCATCTAAAAACACTTAATACTTATTCCTGATGCGTTCGGCGCCCTAAAGAGACCAGTTAGAATTTCTGTTGCACATATCCAGAAGATCAAAAAATAGAACAAGAACTTACACTCAGCCAATTCCTCCAAACTCAATTCCCGAATACCATTAACATGGGGAACGTTGCCCTGTACAACACCCTTAACAGTTTCATAGGCACGCCCAATCGCGCCTTTGTGCGCGACAACATGTGTGGCCAGCTTGGACTCGAGCTTAATAACGCCAATGCGGGGGTCTGATGGCCCACCATCGTGCACGCCATCGCCCATATCGCCAAGCCATGCCTTCAGCGCAGGCGAGTAGTACTTCTTCACGATGGCGGGATCACCAATCACTGATGCAGTGCCTGAGATGGAGGCCCAAGCTCCACTGATGGGGTCTAGGAAAGACATATTTGTTTCTTTGGGATGCACGGTGAGATCCATTGTTTTGCCGGAGAAGAGGTTTGTGTGGAAGATGAGGTCAACGCCGCCGTTCTCCTATTTTGGGGAATTGATTAGCATGTTCTTTTTGTTATTGTAGCTCTACTCATACCGTCGCAGCTAATGCCATGCATCGCGATGCCAGAAAATCGCCCTCTGACTGCTTGGTTGTCAACATGCCAAATTTAACTTGGTTGATAAATTGAACCAGCTCTTCGATCTTCTGAGGGAGAGGCGGGTCTTCGAAGTTCTGGGTCTTGTAGGGATCCACGGGGTGAGTGCCCGTCTTGGCGTTGATGGTGGCATCTGTAGTAGACATTGTTTTTTGATGTTTTAAGTAATGAAAGGATATAACAAAGTAAAGAGTATGAGAAAGATGAAGGACAAACTATATAGGAACTATGTATACACGGTCGTCAATGTGACGTCACCGATAAGATCAGGATTAGGGCTAAAGATGAGGTCAAGTTCAAGTTCACTGCATCACAACATCCAAAAAGCTTGTAATCTGTGACGATCACATCTCCGCAGGCCTGAATTTCTAGGAATGCTCCTCGATATGGATGCATTTCCGTCAGGGTCCATTTGGATTCCCCGCTCATGTCTATGTAAATCTCTCTTCGCAACACTGTTATATACGGTATGTCATGAGTGATCTTTTGTGAGCATGATTGCCAGGTCGCATTCTGAGTCGTTTTCATGGCGACAATATCCTGGCCTATATACCAGGAAACACCAGTTCAATTGTGGTCGATCGTACAGGGCGAAATATGTCGCATTTATCGATTGACTTCCGGGCTCATAGCTCAATCAATAGAAGTATAGTGTCCTCTCAATATGCTATCGAGATACCATGTTCTGGTGAGCTTAATCAGCAGGGCCTTCAAACCACAAGCAGGCCAACACGAGACAACGTTCTCACCTCTGTGAAAAATGCCACAACAAGTTCAGCAGAACAGCAATAATGCCAACCATAACGGCTATGCGGTACAATATTAGCCAATATCTTTATTAGATGCGAAGAAGATAGAACCGAAGAGTGAACAAACCTTCATATCCCCAGCTCTCCATCACCTTAACAGCTCTCCTTTTCCCCTGTGTCCTCATTCTAAACCAACCGGGCATTAAATCCGTTCGGCATGTCTGGCCATTAACAATCAGACAGCCACCCTTAACCCGTCGACACTCAAGATGCCAACGACGGCGCTCCATAATGCTGCAGACTCGTCCATTGCAAAATGACTCGTCCGTACTGAACGAGCACTTCTCCATGGGGCATTCGAGTTTGTGTTCAAAACGGTCGATGAGCCAGTCAACCTTCAGGCGCACTCCTGTGAAGACTATTGAGTAGAAGTGGCGGCTGCTGTGTTTTAGAGCAAGGGCATCTGGGTAGGAAAGGTAGGTGCTTATTTGGATGTGGAGTTCCGAGGGGAGGGTCATTAGATTGGCGCTGGTGGATTGAGAATAGGAGGGGAACTGAGGTGACTCCATGATTTTAGACTTGTGTTCAAAGGCTGTTGCTTATAACTCAATTGTGTACATTCGATGTAAGGGTGGTGTTGTTCATCTTATACGAGCGGGACGAAAACTGTTGCCTGAAATCGTAGCCACCGACGCTAATTTCTAGTCGGAGTTATTTATCCCAACGCAATCATTCAAAGATTGGATTAATGCAAAACAGCTGCCTATTTCCAGCGTCCTATGTACACATAATTGAAGGCGTGGGTTGGGTTGTGACCAGGTGAGGTTGGAAATCAGTCCCGCTTACATAATATTCAATATCGGCGTCAACCCGACCTGGGAAGCTTCAACTTTTAAAGATCGCCACTCACCAACCTCCCATTACATCTCCCCAAAACAAAAGTCCAATATCAACCACAAATATGTCAAATCCAAACGCCTACGGCACCCCGGTGTCGGACACGGCCTTCCGCAAAACCTGGGACCGTGAAGAATATGCCAAAAAAGCGGCCGACGCCGAAGAAAAGCGCAAAGCCGAAGGCAAAGCCCGCTACGAAGCGAAACTACTGGGCAAAAAATACCATGCGCCAGTTGACTACAGCACGCTCGAAGATACCACAGCCCGCAACCAGCGCCTGGACGTCGCGTCCATGGTGGGCAAGACCATGATTGTTCCCGCAGGCTCGGGAATGGGCAAACGCGGCCTTGGTGCCGGATTTTACTGCAAGGACTGTGATCTTACCTACAAGGATAACTTGCAGCTTGTGGAGCACTTGAACAGCAAGCAACATTTGATTGCGACGGGGCAGAGTGGCGAGGTGAAAAGGGCGAATGTTGAGGACGTGCGCTTGCGGTTGAGGATGCTTTCGCATCGGAAGCGACAGAGGGACGAGGAAGAGCGCAAGGCTTGGCAGCTTGATCTGGGCGTGCGGCTCAAGGAGCGGGAGGAGATTGATGCTAAGGAGAGGGAGGAGAAAAGGCGCAAGCGCAATGAGAAGAGGAAGAAGGACAAGGTTAAGAAAGAGGATGATAGCTGGGAGGGCCGGTTGGGAATCATTTCTTGAGTTTTGTTCTCGGGGTGCGTGTCCTATTCTTGATACCCATGGTGTTTTGGCATATTTTCCAGGCTTTTTTTAATGATCATGTTCTTCTTGTGCAAAAATGGCACTTCCAAATTTCAAATTGCGAGCTTAAAATCTAACAAGGGTTCTCCAACACCTAGCATAACGCCTAACATGCAAATCATATCATCCGAAAACATAGTGACTGTTGATTCAGTCGATGCACTCGATGGCTTCGAGTCGCCGCATTGCTCGGCCACCTTCCTTCTCAAATTGGCCAACAAGTCGCTCGCATTCTCTCTTCAGCCGTTCTTCACCATTCTTTGCGTTCCACGCGATCCATTCTTGGACCGTCATCTTCTTCTCTGGGCTGGTCAAGCCAGCTTTCACGCCTTTGAAAAGTCCAGATAAATCTGCATTTTCCTTGTCGCTAGCCTCTCCAAAGAGCACCTCATCAATATCCACTGGTGTCCATGGCTGGCCGGAAGGTCCAAATCCACCATTGGCATTGCGCTTTGATGGTGATGGGGTGCTAACTGCCAGAGGGGCTCGGAACTCCGAGCGCTTCGGTGGTGACTGAACAGGTGGACGGGATGCTGAAGGCCGCGACGATGGAGGCTGATTTTCGGCATCCGATGACTGGGGTGATAACGAAGGAGTGTTTTGATGAGCGGGGGAAGTGGCGAAACTTCCCGGTTAGAGCGTTTTGAATCCCGCCGAGAGTCATGGATTTCGTGAGGTGAGGTCTGGCTTTGGACTAGGGTCTCTGCAAGGTGCTCTTCGTGGGGAATATCGCTATACCGTTTGGCAGTCTTCGGCGGTATACTAGGCGTCTTCCGATGAGATTGTGGCTCAGGAGACATTTCTTGTATAGGGGGAGAAGGCTTCTGGGGAGGGTTGACCATCTCAAGTTGGTCAGGCAAATCATCTGTAGTCTCGAATTCGTCGTCGTGTTCCTCAACCGACGGCTCAACGTGATATTCTTCGACTGTGGGTTCAGGAACAGGAGCTGGTTCTGCCTTTTTCTCGGATTTCTTAGACTTTTTCTCTTTGGCTGACGTAGCATCCTTCTTCTTAGAACTCTTCTTCGATTCTGCCTTGGTCATTGATTCTGCAGGCTCCGGTGCATCCCCCAGCTCCTTGTTGACAATCTCTACAGAGATGAAGGAGTCATGACGCTCGGAATCATCCCGAACATCGGGAGTCCCAGACCCTGAAGATTCTCTCGGCTCTGGTGACTGTGCTTTTATCGTCTCGTCGGTCTTGGTCTTCTTTGTCCCCTTTTTCTTGGATGCTTTTGCCACCTTGGCCTTTGGGGCTGGCGGCTCAGGTGCTTCCGGTTCATCATCAACCCGTTGCACGTGAGAATCTGAACGGTTCTCATGATCACTAACATCCTCTACTTGATCATGTATGGTCGCTTTGGGGGTTTTAGCCACAGCCTTGGACTTTTTGCTCGATTTTGTTTTCTTCGATGCCCGTGGCTCTGTTGGCTCAGCCTCAATCTCAGGCTCGGCTGGTGCAACTGTAGGGATATCTGCTTCGAGGCCCGCTTCAATTTCCGCTTCGATCTCCGAGTCACGAGGGGCTCGCGCCTTTGATGGGGCTTTCAATGAGACAGGCGCATCGGAGACCTTACGGGCCTTGGACGTTCCTTTTTTCGTGGGTTTGCGACCTCTGCTAGTTTCTTCTTCCGAAGCAGCGTCGTTCAGTGGCTCTGCGTCGGCCATGGCAGAGTCACTATGTTCGTAATTGTAGTTGCGAGCGATGCTGCTGCTGCGTGTTTTTGTAGCGCGTCTCTTCGCCGGGGGTTCTGATGGTGGCTGCGACTGGTCTCTTTCCTGTGTGGTAATTGGGTTGGGTTCATCCTTGATATCCTCGCTGGCCCTCTTCTTTCCCCTGCCTGCACGTTTGGGTTTGGTGGGCTCTGGTTGGGAGACTTCTTCAAGGTCGGCTTCAACGTGGTTTTCCACCTCCGCTGATTCTTCCTTCTTAGTCTTGGCCCCCTTTGATTTGCTCTTGGCTACCTTCTTTGTAGATTTAGATTTTGTTGTTGTGGTGGCTTGGGACATGATGCTGTTGTCCATGGTATCATCCATTTCCATATCGGGCGTTTCGGATGTGACTGGATCAACAGATTGAGTTGAAAGGCGGGAGGAAGCTTTGGAAACCCGAGGTTTCTTAGGACGAGTGGCTTTGCCCTTCTTTCCTGGCGGCTGGGCGAAGACAAAGAATGAACAATCTGAGGAGCGGCGGTAGTGTTCGTCACTGGAGGAAATCAGCAACCGTCTAACTGGGAAGGCGCGATGAATACCCACAATGGGTCATCCTTGGGTTCCCATCCATCCAAAGACAACTTGCAATAGACACAGCTGGCTAGATCATTGCTCTCCTCTGTGGGGCAGAAATACCATCCGCCTTCAACCATCTATCGTCCTTGTAAGCCAGAATAAGATGAATACGGCTAGGTCGCTCGTTACCTTGTCCGACTGGCATACCCAGCCCTTTTTCCCGTCATGAGGCCATGCCGTACCAAAGGTTGACAGTCTCGCTTGTGTAATCCTGTCGCCCGTAGGATCTTCAATCGAGGCGGGATTGGAGCTGCTCTGTTGGAGATCCATCATTATGGCCCATCCGCAGTCGGGAGCATGTTTGAGATGCTCTGTGACGGGGTTGTCGTCCTCCTCCCAGCCATCCAGCGCTCGGTGGCACTCGAAACATGTTGTGTTGTCGGGGTTTGTCTCGTATGGTTTGTAGTAGAATCCGGCGTGTGCTAACTATAATCACGTCAACTCAATCACCTTGAAAAATAAGCGCATGTAATCTCTCTGAGAAACGACATACCTCGGCTGGTGAAGGTCGCTGGTGCGGCCAAGTAATCGCTTTGGGTGTTTTTGTGCCGGAAGATCTGCGTTTCTCCGGCTTCAGCACTATATCAAAGCTGGCTAGGCGGGCCGCAAAGGTATCCATTTCAGAGCCCATGGCGAGGTATCAGGGCAATTAGAGACAGTCGGTGCTGATTCCCGACATGTAAAGGGACCCTTTGTGGAGGAAGTAGGCGAATATTGTCGAAAGTGTCGTTGTTGTTGATCCTCCGCGTCTGTTTACTTTTGGTTGTTATGCATCTCGACACGCGTTCACGTGACCATTACTCAGCACCCGAAATAGAAGCGGAGGAGGACGGGGAGTACGTCAGAGCCGGAAATGTTGACGAAGCACCCAAATTCACTTCACTTCAATTCACTCATTTGCTTTCTATGCGGGCTCTTTGACTTGACTCAATCACTGCGCTACGCGCCCCGATTCCTTTTGCCCCAACCCCAGTCATGCCGGGAGTAACAGTATGTCAGATCCCCCCCACTGTACCCGATGATCTCGCTACAACTTCTCTACTAGATGGTCGCTTCTCGAGGAGCTAACTCCAGCTCTCTCTGGCGCTCTCGCACCCTTCTCTCATCCCCACTCGTTGTTCCTTCTTCGGCTCGTTTTCTGTCGTTCAATAGTCGTTCGATTACTCCCTACAATGGCCGACCCTCGGCAAATACCAGCGCTTCGATGTCGCGTCTACTATGCAGGGTGACCACCAACAAGTTATCCTCCTCATTCTCGACATCTTCATCCTCGCTGTTACCCGAAAACTGGGACGAGAATCCGAACTTGTCAATCACGAATTTCTCGGAACTTCCCTCCAAGGATTTTGGAGTCAACCAGCACATGATCATAAACCAAGACTTCAAGGAGGCATTGCGAATGATCCTTTGGCAGTTTAAAGCACCAATCCGATACGCATTTGCTTATGGGTCAGGTGTATTTCCTCAAAATGGCAGCGGAGCTCCGTCCAGCTCATTACACCCCTCGGCACCCACAGCCATCCAAAATATGCAAAAGGGGTCCGGGAAGATGATTGATTTCATTTTTGGAGTGTCGTACTCCCAGCATTGGCATGATATCAATCTGCACCAACATCGTGATCATTATTCTGGGTTGGGTTCGCTGGGGTCGTACACGGTCTCCCAAGTACAGGACCGCTTCGGCGCGGGTGTCTACTTCCATCCTTATATCACCGTGAACGGGACAATGATCAAATATGGCGTGGTGAACCTGGATACGTTATGTCGGGACCTCACCCAGTGGGACACCATGTATCTCGCAGGCCGTTTGCAAAAGCCTGTCAAGATCTTGCGGGATCACCCGAAGGTACGATTGGCCAACCAGATGAACTTGTTGTCTGCTTTGCGAGTCGCATTGTTGTTACTGCCAGAAAGATTCAGTGAGTTCGAGTTATATAGCACAATTGCAGGTATGAGCTACATGGGAGATCTACGCATGGCCCTCCCCGCCGAGGACCCCAGCAAAGTGCGAAATATTGTTTCAGGACAAATGGCACACTTCCGTCGCCTCTACGCACCACTCATCGAAAATCTCCCCAATGTCACTTTCCAGGACCCCCGCTGCAGCAATGACGACTGGATCGATGACCCAAACGCGATCTTAGCCATGGCGCAAGATATGGATCCGGTCATGCGTGGTAACATGGTTCGTCGTCTGCCTGAATCTTTCCGACAAAAGTTGTACTTCCAGTACCAGTCTCGCTTTGGGATCCCTCGAGCCGATTTCAATAAGATGGTTCAGGAGAGCAAGGATTCCGACGAGGTCCTTCGCCGGCCTCAAGGCGGTTCGTTTGAGCGACGGATTGCCGGGGATGATCACCTCCAGGAGGAGGTCGCCAAATCCATTGAGAAGACAATCCGCTGGCCCAGCACTGTCCAAACGATCAAGGCACCGTTCACAGCAGGCCTTGGTAAGAGTTGGACTTATATCATGGAAAAACGTGATAAGCACAAGAAGTCTCAGATGGCAGCCGCTTCAGCACTTGAGTCCGCCCCTGGAGCGAAGAAACCCACTCAAGAACCGAAGCCATTAGAGCCAAAGGAGACAAAGAAAGAATAGGTGACTCCAATGTATTTTTGACGAATAGCCCTAGGTTGCAGACATCTAGCATGTGGAGGCGTTGTGGAATTTTGCGACCCATGTATCAAAATCATCAATGATGTATCTGATATCTGTGCATCAGCAGGAAATGTTTATTGGGCCCACTACATACATACGGACTACATAGAGCCTTTCATTTGTTGAATAAACCATACAGAATCAATTGTTTTTTCTTGCTCCCCTCTCCTTTTTCTCTAATACAATATTAAATACTCCGTACCAAGTGTGCCTACCAATATGTACTTGATTTCCTCCAGGTCTTGGGTTTCCCTTGCTTCGGTGCTCACCTCCTACCTTTTACTCGCTGGCTTGTGCATTGTTATGGATATTAAACGGGTATGCTTTCTACAATCAACAAATGTGACCATATACGGGGTAATAACTGATTTGCTCAATGTGATGTGAATCATTTCAAGCTTTGAGAGAGCGTTGGCGGAGTGATGGAAAACCACCGAAGTGTATATAGTTGCAAAATATCTCACAAATACATTTTGCCAGCCTTGGAGTTGTATCTGTGAAAACAAATGAATTTGGAGCAAGTTTGAATACTTTTTTCGTCCACAAATCGTGCAGAGCAGGTGAATAATCACCTCAACAATATTTTGGAATCCTCTCCATCAAGCCTCTCACCTCCATCTGGAAGTTTCTCACCTGCAGCCCCAAGTAAGCCCCATCCTCCCCGAACCCAACTCGACTCACCGTACCCCCAAAAACCTCAACGACCTTGTCAAATTCAGCTAAATAAGCCCGAATAAGAAGCCTAGTAACCATCATTCCCATGCCAGCGGAACCATGAAATTTCCCAAGCCGAATCTCCGCTGAGATGCAGCGCGTCTCGCATGTACAAATCGAGGCGTGCGCCCATTTAAGCAGTCGGGATAAGATCATGTTCACCAGGAACAGTGTTTGTGTGTCTCGGAGGCAGGTTTGGCATTTGGATAGACTGCGAATCGAGGGGAGGATTTGCTGGGATTGGATTAGGAGGGTGTCGAGGGCTTGGGCGTGTTCTGTTGTCGAGTATGTCGCTTGCAAAGTGCAGAGATGGTGGCTTAGTGTTGAGAAACAGGCGCATGTGCTTTTAGATGTAAGCGATTGAGCTGTGAGGGAGGGCCCCGTGGTAATTGGTATGGTGAAGCCGAAGGGGGAGGATTCATTGGATTGGGGCGATGGGCATGAAAATGTCTCCAATGGCAACGGTTTGTAGGATATGGAGCTTGCATTTTGGGGATCTTCTCCCGATCGCATATTCATAGGATCCGATGCTCGATTTGTATGTTGCGTTTCTGGTTCTGGTTCTGGTCAGTGTGTCTGGGTGCAAATTCCCCGCGCGTTGAAATTACTGACTCGATAATATCTCATGTTGGTTCATGCCCTAGTGCCCATCTCCATTAGTTTTGTATCAACAAATTGAGATCGCAATCTCACATTTTGAAAACAGTCGTCCGACATCTCTGGTAGCCAGCTTTCCATTTGGGAAACTTCCTCGGAGAATATCAGATCTGCAAACGATGGAGAGCCTAGACTAAATTCAGGCGGAGTACGTGTGATTTGGTCTCCAGCCTTTGGCGAAGCAGCATCATTCAACTCAGAATGTTCATCGCAATCAGGAAGTGGTGGGATCGCTTTAGGAACGTCCATGGAGCCTGCCGTTGACGGTGGCGTCTGTGGCGCGAGCCTCTGTTGTTCTTTCATTTGTCGCAATCGCTCGATTGTCTTTTTGTTCAAGCTGCCTCTTGGCTTTCCGATCTTTGATTTTTGGCTGTAGTGACACTTCAAATTGCTGCGCGCGGAGTAAGTCGTCAGCGTTTCTTAAATAAGCAAATAGGATGCATACTCTCTTGCACACCGCGCACACGGAGAACCACCCGTGCAACGAATCTTGGCAGTATGGCATCCATCGCATGCAGTACGAAGTGTTGGAATTTGATTTTGTTCCTTTGAGGGAGTTTTGCAGGTAGATTTATGCTGCAGCCCTGTCTGGCTATTGGACATGCGGGGATGGGCAGACATGATACTCGCTTAATATAATATTCGGCTCAATATTTAGAAAAAGACCACTCAAAACATATAATTCAAGGCCTCGATACTACTCCTTTCACTTATACCCGACATTAACCACGTCAGACGACTTCAAGGGTACCGACTATTCCACATTGGGCCCATGGCTTCGTATACACTTCGTCAGGACGAGACCGAGCCAAACCCTGCGTAATTTTATCCTGGGGGCCAAATCATATCAGTGGACGAGAACATGCCGATAGGTACGATAGGGTCAATTCGCTTTGAAGTAGCAATTGTATCCCAACGACAACTGTGGGGTTGAATCTCCCGAGCGCTGGTGTGGAGTATGATGGATCCATCGTGTAAATATAACTGCCGATTTGGTACTGTGAGCAAACATCTGCACCTGGGCATGGTATATTTCAATGTTGGGTCTCCTTGAACCCTCTCACACTCCTCCCATCCTCCCATTAACCAGGGGTTGCCGAGGACATCTGACTATGTATCGCTTCTTACTTGAGGTATGGCAATGAAAGCGTCAGTGAAGCGACAATTCGCTAGTCGGAATCATCCGCAACTGTGGGGTTGGAGAGTGGCCAGTTGAATTTGATGAGATAGGCTGAAGGGGTTTCGCAGGTCCCCAAGGTACCAGGTGGAGATTTTCCGGTGCCACCAAGGTTAATGTTCCTTGAACTATGAATGATAACACGTGCATATCCAATTGCACCGATAAACACAGTAATCCCAAAGTAGATAATGCCCTAGGGGCATAATGTCTGTATTGTCTGATTCTGGTTTTCGTGTCCCCATTTAGTCCCACTTGGCAAGTACATTGGAAACTGACATTCACAGTCCAATCTCTTACAAATAGGCCTCGAAATAGACTTCCTCCTTCCTCTCTATTGATTTATGCCGTTGAGATGACGGACCCCCATCAATGGTATTTTGCCTATGGCTCGAACATGTTGTCCGATGTTTTCATCAAAAGACGCAAAGTGAATCCCATCCAACAAAAGGTTGCGTATATAAAAACACATACACTGTGTTTTAATATCATGGGCATGCCATATCGTGATCCTGCTATGGGAGGTATCCGTGAAGCAAAAAGCAGGCGATCTCCCAGTTTATGGTGTTGCATATTTATTGACGCCAGAGGATATGCGGCAAGTTGTTGTCAGCGAAGGGTATTTATTGCCTATTCAAGCTGGGTGGAAGATTCCTGTGCTTATCACACTGCAGCGGCGGCATTGCATACAAAACCGAGATACTTTCGTCGATTCTGGAAAACGAGTCGACGTCCATTCCAGTTACTACTCTGGTGGCAAGACATGATATTGCGCTCGCCTATGAAAGATTGCCTTCGGAGCGATACATGGTAAGTTATACCCTTGAATATCAATTGTGTTGATTCTTTATTCTGAATTGTAATAGGGGCTTTTGATCCGAGGCGCGAAAGAGCAGTCACTTCCACAACTCTATCAAGAAAGACTCCTTTCCCAACCAACATTCACATCCCCAGAAAGTTATCGCTTCCAGCTTGGAGGATGGTTGTTCAGTAGCTTCTGGCAGAGAGTCGCTGTTTGTATTGAAATAGGAGTACATCGCTTCAAAGACAACGAAGGGAACGTGCCGAGGTGGTTCTTGGTCATATTTGACTTTTTGTTGTGGACAATGTGGCTCTATCATGACTGTGCTCATAGCATTATTTGGGGTAGAGGTGACGGGCTTACGTTGAATCCATTGACTCGTTCATTTCTGTAGTACATAGAAGGTCATGGGTCTGAGTTTTCTTTCATTTCATAAATTTTGCACACACTATAGTGTGGCTATTCCTTTTACTATGGCGATAAAGCGAAACGAGGTAAGTATCAATTGTCCCCAGAAATTCCTAGCACTATGTAATTCGAGTACTCTTCTCAGCATGTGGATATACACTTTCTACCGTAGCTCTGAAGTTATCATTCCACAGTTGCTTCACTTCATCTTCCATGACCGCGGACTGGATCTTTAACTTTGCAGCTCGGGCTTCAACCTCCCCCAACACCCGTATGATATTCAGCCCTATGACCCTCTCCACGTCTGGTCGTGATATTCCTCGCTCGAGCATTTTGGCAACCAGATCAGGGTAAAGACTAACATCGTCAACCCCTCTGACAGCACTGAACATGCCATCGTAGTCTGACCCTAGACCAATGTGATTGTAGCCGATCAAGCCACCTGCATATATGATGTGATCAATGATGTGGTCGATACTCGCTTCATTTGGCTTCGTATGAATAAGAGATGGTATGAAAGTAATCATGATGACGCCGTTATTAGCTTGCAATTTCTTCAGGGCGGCATCGGAGACATTCCGAACATGTGGCACAATTGACGCTCTATCAGAATGAATGTTAGTGGTAAATAATAAACAGGACATCAGAGCCTTTACATCGCAGAATGAGAGAACATTACGGGTGCCTTTGAACTCTCAAGGACTTGATGTATCACTGCCTCACTCGTATGTGATAAGTCGATAATCCTACGGTTAGATTTAGTATTCACGTAGAAAGGTCACATCCTGGAAGGTATAGTTGGTAGACTCACATCCCAATTCGGTTCATTTCCCGGATCATATCTATTCCTTTTTCTGAGAGGCCGCCATGTGCTGGAGAGCTCGAAGTCTATTGCCGGATCAGTCTTATTGAACATATTCTATACACGGGCTACTCACAGCACTATCCGCGTAGATGTTATTCTTGTTGTGTGCCAGAGTCACATAACGCACGCCTAGCTTGTAGTACATCCGTAAAACACTAGCACTGTTCGCAATCTGGTGAAGTCCCTCAACTCCAATGAGACTTGCAAATTTATCAGCTTTGAATAGACGCATGATATCGGATGAATTTTCAACAAGGCCCATATCATCAGAATACAGCTCCAGCAGGCGATGCACTATATCAATCTGCTGTATTGTATCTCGAAGTGCCTCGAAATGTATAGCATCATCGGTGAAGTCATCCGACTCAGGACTGTAAATGTATTAGCTCGCAATGTAACGACGCGTTATTAAACTCACCAGTCAATGTAGACACTCCAGAATGCACCTCCAGATCTTCCATTCTTGAGGCGTTTGATGTCGACGTGACCGGCTAGATTGTTTTCGCACTGAAAACGCCCATCTAGTCTATTGTCGTAAAATCCGCGGATGAGATGAGGCCAGTCATTATGACCGTCTTTGTTTGGCATTAGCTTTCAATCGGCATCCAGCTTTAATATTGAGGATGTACTCGCCGATCAAAGGCACTGAGCCCAATATTTCCAATGCTTGTTCCATGAAGCCTGATCCCATTGTCATCTGATAGTTTGGGATAGAGTCAGTCTCGTATTTGAGGTGGGTCAAATAAAATACCGCACAGCTCGATTTGGAATGATGTTGTCAACCCTTGGATGCGATATAGTCCCCGAAATTGTCTCCGAACAGTTAATGTCCGGCTGACCATCGTGGTAGCGTAAGTGAAAATCCAAAAGCAATAATATTTCCTACGCCCAAGAAAGAAATGCATGGTCTGTTGCCCAGTTATATCTTTTCTCGTGTGAATAATCCCTACGTAGCTTAATATCTCTGTTTTCAACATCCGCCCTTGTATCTCCACCTCATCGGGATGACTTTCCAAGGCTGGGAAGGGTTTCAGGTACAAAACAGCACATAAAATTCCAAATAAAATACCCTGGGGATCTTTAGTAGCCACCGTACGGTGTTTCCCCCAAAGGTACTCAAGGCCCGAGGGCCTAGGGCCTAGCCTCACTATCTCATGTAAGCGCTATTACAAGCCCTGGAGCACTCGCCAGGGCTGCAGTGTCTTTTAGGTTGAATTCGTCGACACTAACAAAACAATGCAGAGTTTCTACTCATCGTCTCCGTTAGCTTAAACACAGCTGTCTACAGCGCTAGTTGGGTCCATTTCCTTTTACAGAAACCATCCTGCCCATTTCTCTCTACTTTTGTTCAATTTCATCTACCTTCTCCATTTTCGAGGTTCCCTTTCTCATACTTTTTGATCTCACCACAAAGGGTAATCTCCAAACATGACCCTCAAGCCAATATGGCAGCCGCCATACCACCTTGGTAAAAAGATGGGACCTAAAGCAGACTTGGGATTGATTCTCCTCACAACTACATTGGTAAACTTTTTGGATCTTTTCCAGCTTTCTGCTGTTCTCTTTGGTCTTCCAGATATTGAACGCGCCTTGAAATTTACCCCTGAGGATATAAACTGGGTCTTGATTGTGTATAACATTACGTTCGCATCTTTTCTACTGATTGGAGGTCAACTGGGTCAACGACTCGGATTGGAAAGAACATTCATTGCTGGCACGGCTATTCTCACCTTGTCGAACATTATCAACACTGCTGCTCCCAATAAAGCTGCTCTGCTTGCTGGTCGAACTATTTCGGGGATTGGTGCAGGATTGACTGTAAGCAGCATCTGTACCGAATTGATATTATTTCAACCAAGCTGATCTCACAATTATCTAGGCCCCAAATGGACTGGCTATATTAAGTCGGAAGTTTGAAGATGGTGACGCTCGCAACAAAGCACTGGCAGTGTATACAGCTTGCGCTCCTCTAGGATCGACTATTGGAACTGTGGTCGGCTCTCTCCTTGCATGTAAGCTTTCATCCACGAAAGATCCCCTTGAAGTGGCCATCTAACCTTTTACCAGCCTCTCCTGCTGGCTGGAGGTCAATCTTCTGGCTATGTCTAATTCTCACTGCGATCTCAACCGCACTAGCATGTCTATTTCTCCCCGAGTTCTCGAGGGAGAATGTACCGATTGATGTACTCGGGGCCTCTGTCTTTACCGCGGGAATCGCACTTCTTGTATATGGTCTGAATGACAGCTCTAGACTTGGCTGGTCGGCACCGTCGGTACTTGTTGGGATCATTTTAGGCGCATTTTTGCTCCTTCTTTTCGTAACTGTCGAGAAGCGAGTTGCCAACCCGGCCGTTCCTCTATATGTTTGGAAGTCATTACCCTTCTTCCTTATGTTGGTCGCTATATTTGCCTTTGGTGGTAGCTTCAGTTCATGGTTCTTCGTTACCACGCAACTTTGTGTGAACCTGCTTCGTTATACTCCTGTTCTTACGGCAGTGTACTTTTTGGTGAGTATTCACTCCCGTGGTTATAGCTTCTACGCCTGGTATATGCTCCATTTGAACAATTTTGACTGACAAATGCTCTTCAAAACAGCCAGGTGCCTTCTGCGCGATCGTGAGCGGCGCTCTCTCGACACCTATGGTCAAGTTCCTCGGAGAAAAGGCAACCCTCGTCGTCGGCCTTGGAATAACTGCTGCAGGTGGAGTTGCGTGGGCATTCGCGACACCCGAACGTGCTGGTGGAACTGCCCACGGACAAGGATACTGGTACTCGATTGTGGCCGCAATCATATTTGTCTGTGGTAGCCCGGTTGCCATGGTACCTGCTCAAAGCATTTTGCTTCGCCAAGTGGAGGCTGGGAATCATGCAGTAGCAAGTGCTCTCTTCAACACTGCCTACCAGGTCGGCGCTAGTGTTCTTCTTGCCGGGGCAAATGCATTGATAAATGCAAAACAGGAGAATGTCAATGGTGCTATCATGGCATCCATGGAAGGCTACCGGAATGCCTTTTGGCTCTTGACTGGCGTTCTGGGTGGTGCGGCACTCATAGTGGCCGTCTCCTACTGGCCTCTGCGATCTGAGACTTCAGAAAGGGCCATGGAAGAAGCCTTAGTTGAGGAGCATCCCACAGTGACAAAGGTTCATTAAACATTGAGATGGTGGAAGGCTCTAGCTGTGTGAGGGACTTTTCTTTATTTGCAGTTATCTTCCTCTCTCCCAAGATTCAGCGTCAGTCAGAACGAATGTTTGTTTTTCCTTCCTTTTTTTATTTAACTAATCCCTAAACATGTCCGCTGTACAGCATGTTACTGAATGTTCAGTGTTGCTATAAAGTCCACCTTGCAATGCCTCATTATATTATCTCCACACCTAGAATTTAACACCACCTGAGACATAAAGAATTATGTTTCAATATCATGCTCTTCACAAATGACTTCATACAAGATTCAAATACATTATAGCAGGGTCCATATTCAATCCATTCAAGGCTCGGAGGACTTCCTCCCCCAAGCCAAATGATAACAGTAGGTATTTCCTACAGTCCGAAGCTCCTCCTCCAACTGCACTTGAAGCTCATCAAATTCCGCTTTCGTTGGTTGGCCTGGCTTATCTGTTACTTATCAGCTTTGTCCCTTCCTTAACCTCCAGGGATATAGGCTTTGTTTGACTCACCACCTAGCATCATCTTCATCCCGTCCAAAAGGTGAAGCAATACAACCACAGCCCTTTCCCCTTGGTCTTTATCCTTCGCCGCAGCTCCAACCTCTATGGTCTGAATCTCTTCTTGCACATCAACAGCACCGACTTCCTTCAACCACGGTACCAGAAAGTTCCCAGGGCTCGGCTGGTTCCCGATAGCCGCCCATGCTTTCACCATTATGTCTCGGAACTGCATAAACGCCGGATGGTTAGGTCCCTCCTGAATGGTGAGCATATTCCCCTCATGCAGTTCTATCCAACCACCCGGCTTTACGCAGGCGAAGAGGTTTCTGACCGCATCTTGGGCGGCCTGATCGGAGCAAACTGTTAGTACGAATCTTTGATGCACCACATCAAAGCTGTTTTGGAAGTCTTCCGGCCAAATATCGAGGATTGAATGGGTTGTTAAATGCACATTTGAGGGTCTTCGATCGGGAGGTGTGAAATGCTGAGGTGCAACATCAGTGCCGATGAGTGTTGCTGTCGAAGACGTGGATTGGGCCAGGTCGATCAGCCAGGTTCCTTCGGCGGTGGCGGAATCGAGGATTCGAAGATCAGGCTGATTAAAGTCCACGGGGGAATAAAGAAGTTTCCCATGCATAGCAGTCTTGACGAGACTGTGTTGGGTGCGAAGCCGGTCGTATTCGCCTTGATGGCGCGGGCCACGGTAAGGGTCTTCGGGTGTGATTGTAGCCATGCTAACTGCCAGTGCGTTCGAAGGTGCTTGAAATGATTTCTTCTTCTTTAGATACCTCGAAAAGTTAACTCTTGGCATAATATATGTCTCCACCCTGAATATTATCCGGAGACTAACCGCTGACTAGGTCCTATCGAGGATCAACATAGTCGCCGGGCTAAACATAACATACCACAATGAAAAGGTATTCATTCAACACCTTTACGGTTGACCCAGGAGAACACTGTTTCCAATCGATATCCGTGAATTTAATAGTTCCGAAATCAAAATGGCCACCACTGCAGAAATTCATGCTATTCGCCCATCTATCCCGGATGACAAGCTTGTTCTTTATGTGAAGAAAGGTTCGGCTCCGATTGCCTTCATTTTTCCCACTAAAGAACATATTTTAACAGAATGTAGCCAGTCCGACATCCACTGCCAACTCCGTTAAGCCACTGATGCTGATCGAGGCCCTCAACATTCCCCACCACATCCATCTCATCGAATCAACGAGCAACGAAACATGGTTCCATGCAGTGAATCCCTACAAGATGGTTCCCGCGATAGAAGACGTCGAAATCTATGATTCCAACGGCGAACCTCAAAGACTGAACATCTTTGACAGTTCAGCTTGCTTGACATACCTCGCTGAGAAATACGACACCGATGGTATTTATCGTGGGAAGAATCTATGTGAAAGAACTATCATCATGAACTGGTTAATGTCATACACGGCTGGGCTCGGTGCTACGGGTAAGATCTGGCTGCTCATGAAATCCCCCAAGCCAGTACCAATGGGAGAGTCGCTCTCTATCCTGCTGAAATACATTCGCAACGAATACGACTTCCTGGAGACTCGATTGAGTAAGCCTGGTCAACTTTATATCGCACTTGCAGACAGACCTACTATCGCAGACTTTGCTATTCTCCCCTTGGCAAATGAGACAATTGCTACATCCGCGGAACTTGATTTCAATGACTGGCCGAGACTGATGGCCTGGAGTGAACAAATGAGCTCATTCAAGCCTGTTGCGAGAGCATTGCACAGGGTTTCGCGGTTTGGACTTTCAGAGGAGGAACTTGCTCAGCTGGATGGCAAAGAATAAACATCGACGGGACCTATGAAATCGCGAGGTGGCATGTGTACATATTGCTATCAACTAGTAAATCGTATGTGTCTGATGGTATCTTCATTCGAATAAAAGCATTTTAATGAACATTTCTCAATTGATGACAGGAGTCATCCTAACCTCGATATCTGAGAGCGGCACCCATGTAATTTTCCTTACTTTATCCCTGTCATCAGCTGCAGTATTTTCAATGCGAATCTCATATCGAGAGAGTAACCCAGCGACAAATGTCTTCACCATTGCCTCTGCAAAGTGTTTCCCTAGGCATTTTCGCGACCCAAATCCGAATGTGAATAAGTTATATCGGAGCTTAGTATCATTAGCAACTACAGGTGACGCTCAGAAAAAATATTTCTTTTCACTCACATCAGTAGGGGATACCTTCTCTAGTCGATGAGGGTTAAATTGGGTGCTGTTCTTTCCCCAAAATTGAGGGTTATAGTTGATTGCCAATGTATCAACCACAACGCTTGTCTGATAAGTTGATTAGCGACATTCTCTTGGGGTTTCCTGCATTACTTACATTTGGAGGAATGGTGAACCCTCCCAAGAGAATACTCCTGGGTGAATATTCCGGGATTGTAAAAGCTTGTGGAAGTCAGCAATGCATTAGCATAAGAGGAGGCATCATACCAGTGAATGGCCGCAGTCTAATGGACTCTAATAAGCAAAGGTGCAGTAACGAGTCTTTGCTTTTACAAACACTATCCACGAGACTGGCATTGGCTCGTATTTCTTGCCTGAGCTCCTGCTGTATGCTTGCCTCCTCCGCAATGAATATGATCAACCAGCTCAGAACATTTGTTGACACGTCGAGATTTGCAAAGAGCATCTCACTCATTGTTTGAATCATCTAGTTGGGCGATATTAGAACAATGAGTGCTTATCATATGGAAATCTTCACTTACCTCCTTTTGGGTGACCACGCTTTCATCCACTGCTCTCCATGCTTCCACGACTGGGGGAGACTCACCTTGAGATCTCCTCGCTTGCACGATAGTCTCGTTGAATTCAGTCCAGTCTTTCTCAAATTCTTTGAGCAGCCGATATTGCGTCGGCTTTAGCCAACGACAAATTCCGAATCGATACACCCCTCCTTCCAAAACATGGCCCATCATCGCAAGACTTCGCTGTCCCAAAGTCCAAAGCTGATCCTTTTCTGCCTCGGTCAAAGGCCCATATAGATATTCAGCAGTGGCTAAGAAAGGGAAGCGAGAGAAAGACGTAACAGCTTGCAGCTTGGTAGGGTTGGTTTCCTTGTCTTCAAAGCGGCGAAAATAATCTATCGTGAAGTCCGAGAGAAAATCACAAGACTTAACGACAGCGCCATGACTAAAGTATGCATGCAATTGCGCTCGAACATCCTTCCACCGGTGGTCATTTATCAAGCCCATGCATTCACCTAGCATCTGATGAAAGAACCAGCCTCCATTACTGGAGGGGGACTTTCTGTGACTTGGTGAATCTGCATGAAAAGTCTTCACATCCTCTGGTCTTGTTATCACCCTATTCTTTACCAATCAGTTGAAGGAATTAACATATTCAAACTTAACCAAAAGGACGTACACTTCCGGTCTAAATCCTGACCAGATACGATACACTGAGCCATACTGACGCCATACTTGACTGGCATTGCGCCCATCAAGGAACTTTTCGAGGCACTGGCCGTCTAAAGATTGCCAACTGGGTCCCCGGATGGTCTCACCATCGTTATTTTTGATTGGATATATCACGCCCGTAATCTTGAAACAGTTAGCATAAGAGCTTGTAGGATAAAGATGGCTAAGAAAAAAGAAACCCACGATTCTGTCGACAATATAATATCTTTTTGCAGTAATTATCCATAGTAGAAGTGCTCCCACTAGGACTCCAATGCACTGAGGATTGCTGAGATCCATGTCAAACAGTTCAGATACTTTTACATGCAATGATTTCGAGCGAACGTATTCTTTGGTCTTGTTATTTAACAAAGGATTAGGCCAAATAAATCCACTAATTCCACGCGATCTTGGTGTTATCCCAATGTGGATAGGAACGGAAACAAATATTCACCGATTAGCCCTAGTGCCAAGACATTGTATAGTTCGGCGATTAAACATACTTTCCTTTTTAGGGTAACTTAGTCCAATGTAGAGAGGCTATTAATTTTCCAGTATTGGTATAGCCTGAAGACTTTCATAAACAGCTAGCTGTTTCTAGAATTCTTAGATCCTACACAGACCTCGAGCCTCAATGGTTCCAACTCCTCGAGTGAAAATAAATCACTCATATAAAACTTCAAGTTGTGGCTCACTATTTCAATTTCTCTTGTCAACCGTTGAAAACAATATCCTTCACAGCCCATTCCATTCGGCACATATATATTCAAAATCCTATAGCAATTGCTATTATTACAAAACACCATTGCCAAAACATCTAGGACTTGTATCTTTTCAATCACAGTAGACAGCGGCTCGGGTGATAAACTCCCGGGTTGAAGTATGCAGTCACATTCCAGGCATTCTTTTCAGAAGCCCAACAGACATAGGTGTGGAATCCGAGTCCTTGAGAAAGGTCTCGATGTTTGCTTCAAAATGTTAGTCTTTATATAACATGATAAGATCATTCACCTGCGGCTCACTCACCATAGCGTTTGTACACCTTCAAGGTAAGGTCCAGTAGCCAATTTCTTCCCTCTGCGGTCCAGAAACCCAGACAAACCTCTTGCAACTTGATCGTCATTTTGTGCATAATGTCTCACAGGCAAATAGACTTTTGTCTTGGGAATGGGTGCACCGCTTTTGAATTCGAAGTAGTAAAGAATCCCACTCGTTCGATGATCCTTTTGCGAAAGAGGTGTTTCATCACTCTGCTCTTGATCTAAGCCAAACACCGAGTGCCACAATTCCCGTAACGATTGCTCCTCATCAGAGCTCTTGGGTGCTTTGTTCCCTATCGTTAAAATATCAAGCACGCTTTGTAGGGTTGTTGAGCGTGATCGAACATAAACCTTGATCCGAGACTTCAAAGGGTCTAGGCAGTCAATAGCTGCGATTTCCACCACTGGGCGCTTTTCTTCCGGGAATGATTCAATGTAGTTCGTGAACACACTAAACGAGCTCAACAAGGAGTTTCCTAGTGTCGGGACATTTATAATGGCTTCCTCGACAACAGCGAAATTCGTTTTCTTCTCTGCCAACGCCCTCCAAGCAGGCAGGTAGTATTGTTTGACAACAATAGTCTTTTCCAGGAGATCAAAGGCCATGAAGCTTTGCGACTGAGGATTTTGAGCAAAATCTTCTTCACTGCATGATTTTGGAGACGTTAGAGACTGTTCAAAATGTCGGTGGAGATAAAGATCCATCTCTGGCGAAAGTTGAAGAGCGTCGCCAAACAACCGTAGGCTAGCAAGGGTATTGGTGGGATCGGCTGGCTGACCAGCCCACCTCCCTATAGGCTCAACCGAGTATCGAACCTTGGGAGTATCAAGAGCAGTTGACCAGCACCAGCTCAGCTCAACGGGAGTATGATCGTCTGTCATGAAGCTTTTCCAGTGTGCCGGCTCTCCGGTGCCCTTTGGGTGTTGACCCAAAGAGGGGGCAACCGACTCACGGAAGAATTCCGAGTGAATTGTCGCTGAGCTTTCAGGATATCCGGCTAGCTCAAGCATCATGTTGAGCATCGTGCCGACTTCGTTGTTCCATAATTCCGCATCACTCTCGTGTGCAGAAGCCTCTTCGATCTCGGGTTGCTTCGACAATTTTTAGTGTCATACACAAAATTAAACCATATATCAAAAGTGATTCTCACTATATTTTTCAAATCCCACGGTTTCCCGAGGAGCGAGAGCCTGTGGTCTCTTATTAATCGCCATTTAACATAACATCAAAAGCACTTACAAGGCATTCCACAATATCTGCGCCATTCTATCAGACCTCCACACCTTCTCATCCAGATGTTGGCAATCCAGACCGTGGCCACCTGTTCTCGGTAGTTAATATACCAGAATCAATTCATTTTTGTGGGGGCGAGTCCGATGCTCCAAGGTTGGCTCCATACGCACGTAAGCCTAGGCCACTCTTCGGCTTGTAATTGCAAGATATACGCACGTAAGAATAGACTGTTGCCGAGGTCGGCTTGTAATTATAATAATTCGGCGACTAAATGCCCTAATCTTTCTAGGCAGTTAATTCAATATTCTTCTGAATCATAGCCCCCAGAGGCTTCGTTTACAGTGCCAGGAGCCATAAACAGCTGCTTAAATGTTCTCTATTCAGACTTGGCTACCGCTCCCTGTCTATCAATATGCTCTCCTCACGCTGCAGTTCAAGGAATCAAACAATCATTCCAAGTCTTCTGAATCAACACGATGCGGTGCTTTCGGGAAATAAATATGTCATTGACCTTAGCACAGCTGAGAACTGGTCTGTGAAAGACATGGTCCTAGGAATGATGCATGAGGCCAAAGGTTGCTATTCTGCAGATGTTTGTGCTCAATCGATTGTTCATTGTCATCCGTTGACTTTATATAAAATTGCAGGACTTAGCGTACACTTCCGGTATCGGCGGCTGTTTAAGCACAAGAAGGCTCCTTGCAGAGCTACTTAATAAGCATTTTCACCCAGCGACACAAGTTGAAGCTTCTCAAATTATCCTTGCCGCCGGTGGAAGCTTTGCTTTGACGGCTCTTGTTGAACAAGTTTGCAATCCCGGAGATGGTATCCTGGTTGCAGCACCTTATTGGGCTGGCCTTGATATATCGATTAGCATCCACGGCCATGCAAATGTTATTCCAGTCCATGTGCCTCTTTCGGGGTTTTTCGGTCCAGAGAGCGTTCAATACTATGAGTCTGCATTTGAGAATGCCTCTATCCCCATCAAAGCCATTCTCGTCTGCAATCCTCATAACCCCTTAGGTCAATGCTATCCACGAGAAACATTGCAGTCTCTATTGGATTTCTGCCAGCGCCACGATCTACATTATATTTCAGATGAAGTATATGCGCTTTCCGCTCACCAACCTCCACCCGCTGGATTCTCACCCTTCGTGTCCATCTTTCAATTCGATGAGAGCCAAATGAGTGAGAGGGCCCATGTTATATATAGCCTTAGCAAGGATTTTGGATGCAACGGTATCCGATTGGTGAGTTTGAGTTACTCTCGAAGCAAAGAGATCAATTACATTATATTAATTTATTAACCTTGGACATCTTTTTTCAGGGAGCACTTATATCACAATCCAGCCAAGCCGTTCGCCTGAGCGCAGCCTTGAGTCTCCACAGTCAGGTCTCGTCTTTGTCAACAGCTTTTGCTTCTGAAACTGTCCTGAAGGAAAACAGCATCCGGCGGATATGTGAACACGGAGGGAAACGGCTTAGAATGGCTTATGAAGTCATCACTTTGTTTCTGAAGACACATGAAATCGAATTTATGCCCGCAGCCTATGGCATGTTTGTTTTTGCAAGATTGTATCCAGTGAAAACCGTTCAAGAGGAGCAGGAGCTTCTAGGTAATATGAAGTCAATGGGGGTATCGGTTTCAACAGGGACAAGTTACCACTTTCAAGAGCCGGGATGGTTTCGCATTTGCTATGGCGTCCCACTTGATCAGCTAGAGGAGGCTCTTAGAAGGATTTACCTTGGTATTGTGAGTTATGGTGTCAAATAAATTTGATTCTCAATGTCGAAATAAACAGTAACAGCAACGGAGGCGAGTACTATTCTGGAACCTTATGTGCACCTTTTTGGCCTAGTGGTAAAGTTGTGGTGTAAGAGCTCTAACAATATTTGGTTTACAACGGGAAAAGACTTCCCCTGCCTCCCTTTCTCTCTCTTACTCCCCCCTCAAGTTCTCTATTAGCTGACATTACAAGTGGTCGATTGGTTACAATTTTTCCTGTTCTCTTTCGCTGACAAGATGCCCAGGTTGTGGGGGTAGTGGCCTGACTTTACCTCGGAGGTTACATTCGACGCCCAGGCGCTAAGCGAGACATAAAGAGAATATTCAAAAAATTCAAGCTCGTGTAACTTCCTAGCCAACTAAATGTACCCCCTTACAGACACCATCGCAGGAACTATTGTAGGAACCATGCCCTGGAATCCACGCCCACCCCAGTATCTTTCATGATGAGTCATGGCCTACGCCATGGCGTTCATCTGAGTTCCCACCCGAAGAAACTTTTGTCGATCGAATCAATCTACAGCATGCGAAGCCCGACTGTGAGTCTGTACTGCGGTTCTTAGACTACGAGTCTAGTAGTAGTGGGGATTGGCCATGGGGATGGGCCATCTACCGTACCTCCTATGTTAACACTTCCGATCGAGACTGGGCTAGAGCTATTGACAAGCTCGACGAGGCCTGTATGGCTGACCTGGAGTTTTTCTAGCGCAGCTGGCACCAATTCGGCGCCACATGCGTTGAAATGATCCGCGAGGGTTATCGTAATGTCATCTTTGAAGACCCCTCGTCGGAAGCCGTTATACAACGTCGACATAAACAATGGGTCGAAAGCCATGGCCTCTACGTGGCTAGTGGCATTCCTCGCCTGGGTTACGCACTTTTGTTAGATGATCGCTGTATACGATCAATCTTGGCTAGCGCGGCGCCTAGAAAGCCATCTGTCATCGAATATGGGCTAGGGTGGCCAAAGACTAACGATAAACCGGGGGGGGATGGTCGGTTATGTTAACTTTATCGACGTTAGCTTCAACCCCGAAGACCCAGAAAATGACTCTGGAAAGTACTACCGTGGATTGATCCGTGTTCATTTGGATTGTTTAGCCCAATTTGCTCTCTGTTGCGAGAATCTTGAGACTGGAGAGCAGGAATGGGGTGATTATGGGATGGACATACCTGACAATGTATTTTATACAGATGGCCATTCCTCAAACACTGAGTCGAAAGAAATGTTTCTTTCTTCCCCAGATAGGAACGTTGAGAGAACTTCGAGTGTGATTGAGCTCGAGTATATCGAGCGCCAAAATATGGAGAACTTAGCATTGAGCAATGTGCCGGGTTCTACCTAGCATTATGAGTGTAGAGTGAGTAATTATATTCTGCAATCAATAGAGCACAACATGGCTATTCTCGGCTGTTTCCAAAATATTCAGACATTATGTATTACCAAAAATATGGCTTTGCTTCTATTTATCACAAGATCCAAATCCAAACCAGCTTCCAAGGTCTTTCACAAGTCTCTCCATCTCCTCTCGAATGTGTCCGGCTGTGGTAGGATGGACGACATTCTCCATATACTCAAACTCGCAGATCGTACATTCCTCAGTTTCAGTGAACTCGATCAAAAGAGGAAATTTAGCTCCAGTCGGTTTTAGTGTCGTTTCCTTCACAAACACACCTGGCAAGCAAAATGCGCTAGAAATCGAGTCTTTCCGTCGATTGTACACAATCATGACCTGGAATATCTCACTCGAGTCCAAAATCTGGCGAATCCTCTTTAATGGAATGGAGTAAGCCAATGCATCTCGAATAGATGTTTGTGCTGAGCTGACAAGATTCGAGAAGAATGCCAATGATGTGGACTCCACATTGAGTCGCACTGGTAGTCTATCTAAAAATACGCCGAGTAGACTTTCTGTGCCAGGTTCCGTGCGATCGATGTGAGGTATTCCAATGACCATATCCCTTGTTTCCTGACTTCTCGCAAGAGTCAGTGCAGTCAGCGCAACATACAGCTCCATTGAGCCCTCAAATTTTTCATTTGTCTTCAATGAGAATGCCTCGGAGTGTCCAACAAAGGTTGATTGTCCATCAAGGTTCTTGAATAATGGGACAGTCATGTTCGAGAGCTGGGAGCTCCAATACACAGTATTTGGATCGTCCATCCTTATCTGGGGTTGGGTAGCTTTCCACTGAGCCCAAATTGTATAGTCTGGCAAACGCGTGGACTCTGCACATTCGTTCAATCTCGCCTCCCCATTCAGTACACTCAAATATTCATCCCGAATCCTGCGAAAGAGAATTTGGATCGCGGCTTTATCGGTCACAGCATGATGTTGGACAAACAGCATATCCACGCCATCGGGACTCTGACTTAAATTGATTCTAGTCAGAGGACCGGCCGACAGATCAAAAGCGCGATTGGTGAAAACTTCAACATCAAGGTCGCTCATTTCTCCTCGTGACATTTCGCACGCAGTGGTCGATTTCCCCCGCAGAACCTGGTCTGCAATGACATAGAAACGACTCTTGAGAACTGGCTCGCGGGACGTGACAGACTGAATCGAATTCTCGAGGATTTCAAGGTCCACATCGCCTCTCAGATGCAACCTATAGCCGACATTGAACGTTTCTGGGGGATATTCAAATGAGAGGCAGACAAATTCATTCTCCAAGTCCGATGGGCTGGTGAAAGGCGATTCGATGTCTCTCCAAGCCATGCTGAAATTTGCTCGAGACAATTTCTCTGCAGATTCCAACCATTTCTCAATCTCATCACTCAGCGCAGATAATTCCGTGGTCCAGATAAATAGTTTCAACGGCAACTTGGAACTAAGTTTGCGCGAAACAATTTGTGCCAATTTTATTTGACTGAGAGAGTTCCCACCTAGCTCCAGGAAGTCGGTTTTGGCATTGATTTCGATATCTTGACTGATACCAATTGCCTCTCTCCAAGCCTGAGAAATCAAAAGTTGAATCTTCGTTAATGGTCTCCCTGGTTTGGGCTGTGTTGTATGAGAAATCGAAAGCAGCGCTTTGCGGTCAAGCTTCTGATTCGGCATTGTTGGAAGACTAGGAAGTGCCAAGATTGTGGAAGGACAGGCATACCCGGGTAACTTGGCAGAAAGAGCTGCTTGAAGAGCAGGAATGTCCACCGTATCAGGCTCAATGTAAGCAATTATATTGTCCATGTTGACAACGGCCGCTGCTCGTCGAACAGCTGGATTGACAAGCCGGATGACATTCTCAACCTCATTCAGCTCGACCCGATATCCTCTGACTTTAACTTGGTTATCAAATCGTCCGAGGAACTTTGGCTCCATGCCTTCTGTCCAGATAGCACAATCGCCAGTTCGATACATGCGTTGTCCAGGCACAAATGGATCGGGAACAAATCGTGACTCCGACAAGGCTTGCCTATCTGCTCCAATGTAGCCATCGGCGATTTGAATACCACTCAGGCAAATCTCGCCAGGTACCCCAATTGGAACAGGTTGGTTTTCCGAATCAAGGATATAGACACCCACTCGAGGTATTGCGTGGCCCAATGTCACTTCCTTATGCGGACGCAGAGGTTGGAACAGGCACCCGATGGTGCACTCACACGGTCCGTACGAGTTATACACGGTTCGTGTATCAGCCCATCGATCCGCAAGCACTTGGGGGACAGCTTCACCAGCAAAGAGAATAGTGTCAAGGTTAGAGAATTGCTCAGGCTCACACACCGACAAAAACGACGGAGTGATCATGGTCGCATTCACTCGTGTTAGATGCGCGAATGGGTCACCGGGATCTGCTAGAACAAGTGTAGCGCCATAGCAGAGTGTCCCAAATATTTCTGCCTGGTTCACGTCGAATCCCGGTGAAAACATTTGTGAGTGACGTCTTCCTGGACGGGCATCCATTCGAGCTGGCCCGTATGAGAGATACGAGACCACTGCTTGGTGCTTTATGCAAACTCCTTTAGGCGTACCAGTAGATCCAGATGTGAAAGTGATGTAGGCAACATCCGTAGGGTTTGGGCTTGTTTCCAGTCGAGCGCATTCCTGGGAAGTCCGTATTGACTTCGATAGGAGTTTCTCTCCAGAAAACACCTCGCTGAATTTGGCGTAACATATCTCATTCGGAAATACACAAACTTGCACATCAGCAGTTTGGGTCATGATTTGCATTCGTTCGAGCGGCAGTTTCGTATCCAGTGGAACATAAATGGCACCCGCTTTTATGACACCGATGACGGCCACGAGCCACTCTACACTGCGGTCACTGACTATTCCAACGGCACTTCCTGGTGTCACTCTGGTTAGGACAGCTCTGGCAAAATTATTTGCCTGCAAATCGAGGTCTCGGTACGTTATTTTTCGAGTACCAGACTCAATTGCCACATTATTCGGCCACTGGTCAACGCCCTTCTCGAAGCTCTCCTTGAGGTTTGAAGGACCAAGATAAGGAGTCAACAGATCTGGCGATGGAGCTGTCAGAGAGAGAGCCTCGCAAGGCTCAAGCATTCTTTTACGTGTCTGCGCCACGGTCTCACATGTTGGATCAAGCATGGCGAGGAACAAATTCCGGAAATGGGTCATCATTCTCTCCATCACGGGCTCGGTATACATGTTCTGATCAAATATGGCTTTGAGTGCGAGATTTTCGCTTTCCCGCCTAACAAGAATCGTGAGCCCAAATTCAGAGATATCAGTCCGAGTGAACTTCCAATCTCCGTTTGTGAAGCCTGGAAGATCATATTCCAAAAATAGCATCGTTTGGAAGGCTTGTGAGTGAGCCCCTTGTACAATCTCTTGGAGCGCTTCTGTGGCAGACCACTGGTGAGAACTAGCCTGCAGTCCTAGCTCTTGCACATATTTCAAAAGCGAAGCTTTTGTGCTGAGCCCAGTCAAGCACACTGGTAATGGGCAGCTGTTGATCACAGGTCCCACAACCGCTTCGATTCCGGGAAGGGGTAAATGGCGTCCAGAAAAGACTGTTCCGAAAACAACCTGCTCTTGCGCTGTGTAAGACTTGAGAAGAAGGGCCCATGCGGTGTATATCACAGTTGCAGATGATACTCCATTGATACGACAAATTTGTTCAATTTGCGGTATTCCAAGGTTGATTGTTATCTCTGTCTCTCCCAATTGTCTTCCCTCTGTGTTTCCAATTGGCTTTGGTAGTTTCAACCGAGTGGCCTCGGTTACCTTCGACATCGCTTCCTTCCAAAACAGCATTCCTTCTTGGTGCGATAGATTAAGATGCTGCGGAAGATCCATCGCTATTTTCAAAAACTGCGAGGGATCCAAAGACAAATTCTTGCCATGCAAAACATCTTGAACTTCTTGTATGACAAGACCCATAGACCATCCGTCAACACGAGTGTGATGAACAAGCCATAATAGATTACCCTCTATTGCGCTTTGGTTTACAATGAGCCGGAAAGAGTTCACTGGGCTATACATGTGATCGTCATTTTTTCGCTGGGTGGATTCAAACAAACGAGCAGCCTCGCTCTTGACAGCAGCAGATATATCATCATGAGCCAGAAGCTGCTCTTGCCAGTCGTGCTGATAGTTTGGGTCAAGCTTTTGGGTTCCATCAGCCATGTCGAAGTAAGTTGAAAAAATGGTATGTCTTTTCATGACGGTTTCAAATGCAGCTCTAATCCGACTGCTATATCCTGTTTCGGGCTTCCAGGGTAATTCAATGCGTACTAGCATGTAGCTCGTTGCAGAATGTCGGATTGATGATCTGATCATTCCCATTTGGCTTGTAGTGATTGGAGACGGGAGTTTGGGGGTGATATCGTTTACTTCAACTGGCTTTGCCCTTTTAGACAGTACTGACAAGGCAGTTGGATGAAGTATCTCATGAAACTGAAGTGTTTGCCTTTTTTGTCGCAGAGACGAGATCAATTTAATTGCCAAGAGAGAGTTGCCTCCGAGCTCCCAAAAGCTGCGTTCCATTGACACAGATGAAATGGCAAGACCTAGAGTCTCAGCAACCGCCTCCTGCAATTTCGTACAAGGGGAGTTCTCAATGGGAATGAGATCAGAAGGATTGGTAGAAAGGAGAATATTCCTCAATGCTTGTATGTCAATCTTGCCATTTGACGTTCGACAAAGCTCCTTGTACGCCAAGATCTGATCAGGCACGACGAACTGATCATGGTTCGCGGACAAGTGAAGGCGCATCTCAGCTACATCGGCAATCTCGGGGGCTACCGCCCCGATCAGTTTACCTTGATGCATGAAGGCAGCAGCAGCATGGACTCCTGGATATGATTCCAAAATGGGAATGACATCCATTTCAAGATTGACCAAATAGCCTCTATTCTTGACCATGCTGTCTTCTCGGCCACAGAAGATGATTCCTTCTGGACTTCGACGAGCTCGATCACGAGTGGCATAAATTCGAAGCCCATTCCATTCGAAGAATCTCTCGCTTGTGAGATTCTCATTATTATAATACCCAATCGCGAGACCAGGTCCACTGATGTGAAGCTCCCCTTCGTCACACTCTTCCCGTTGGTCATTTAAGATCAAGAGCTGCGTTTTGGACATCGCTTTGCCTATATTTATAGACCGACCAGGTCTTATCTCAGCCATACTTGCACAGATGGTTGCTTCTGTTGGTCCATAACAATTGTAGATTGATCTCCCTTCATTCCACCACATTTGTAGAACTGTCGCATTTGGTGATTCCCCGCCAAGAAATATTGACTTGATGTTTTTATATTGCGCGGGGTCTCCGAGGGTAGCTAGGAGTGATGGTGTCGCAGGGAGAATGGTGCATCTCTTTGCATCCTCCAATACATTTCGAGGCTCTGAGAGAACGAGATGAGCACCATGACAGATGGTGCTAAAGAAGACACCCCAAGCCGCTGCCACGAGTTTATATTAGTATATCGATATTATTTTGTCCAAAGAAATAAATGCTCACCATCAAAGGCCAAAGAGAATAAAAGCAGAACCTTATCATGATTGCGAACTCCCAAATTGAAAGGCATCCCGCGATCCAGGCCTTGTGTGACATAGTTCTCAACGGATTTGCGAGAAATCATTACCCCCTTGGGGGTTCCAGTTGTTCCAGACGTGAATATTATATAGACTGGCTCTTCTGGGCTCCCTGCACAATCGATATCCCCCGCCATCAAGTCTGTGTGAGAATCCGGTTGTTGCTCCTCGAATGCTTTTTGAATCTCCCGCATTGTAATAACGGGGGTATCGTTCGCTCGAAGGTCAGTCCACTGAGCCGTGATAACAATCTTCGGCTCGATGGCCCGCAACACGGAATCAACTCTGGATTGGCTCCAAGATTCCCCGTCCATCGGAACAAAGCAAACACCGAGTCTTAGCAGTGCCACAATTGTGGCTACAGCCTCCAGACTTCTGGAAACAAAAACGGGAACCGTGTCGCCCGCCCTAATTCCAAACGAATGAAACAGCGCAGCCAGGGATAAAGAGACGATCTCGAGTCTTCCATAACTCAAGGCTTTATCCTCCTGTGAGCAAGCAACTGAATTTGCTTGAACTTGTGCATGTTTGTGAATCGAAGACCAGAGAGATTTATGATTGACTTCTTGGTCCATCAAACCGTTCTGATCTTTGGACAAGCATTCTGGTTTCATGGCTTGGGTCCCTCGTAGAAAGTGGAAAGAGAGAGAGAAAAGGAATAATTTTGACAAATCGTAATAACATAAGGTCCCTCGATAAAAGCTTTACCATATAGTATTTGAGGTTCGGCAGATACCAAGCTTTCCTTGCGCCGGGGATTATTCTCGGCGACTATGCTAGCTTGGGGCCAACATGAAAAAATTTCCCAGTTCAAGTTAAAGGGTTGGATTTTTATTCTTATAAATTTATCTAAAGATCTATGTGTAAGCTACCAGCAATATCCCTAATTCCAGGTTGTTCAATTGTGAATCCTGAGCTAGAGCCAAAAATGAGTGTTCGAGAATTATATCAACAGTAAACTACCCAAACAACGATTTCTGTCCAAGCGATTCTGCAGTAAGTTGGAACGAAGCTCCCATTCCAGCCAAAGAGCCTGAGAAGATTGCATTTGGCACGTTCTTCATCATTCCACAGCTATCACCCGCCGCAAAGACACCTGGGATATTGCTTTGGAAGAAAGGAGCACCTGCTTTGATGTCGTTCTTAGGAGTCTGTTCCAATTCAAGATCTTTCACGAAGCAGCCTCGGGGCTTTGTCTCGGGTGTGTGCGCAAGGAATCCCTCGACCAGGGAAGTGCCATCTTCAAGCTTGATAGAGACAGATGCGTTGGGCTCTACTTTTGAAATAGAAGCAACCTTGCGGTTTTCAACTTTAAACTTGCTTGTCTCTCCAATGGCAGTATTTACTTCCTTAACCAGGTCGTCGGAGCCGTTGGTGTAGATGGTGATCGATTTGCTAAAAGCAGCGGCCTGTCGGGCGACATGGAGAGCAAAGGGCGCGCTGGAGAGGCCACCGATGGCAAGGACTCCAACTGAATCAGCGCCCTTCTCTTCGTATCCTTTGCAGAAGAGACATTGGAAACTTGGTCATATTAGCATTATGCGCTAGATGGTTGTGCGGGATTGACATGAAAACTCACATTCCAGTCCCCCATGCCTGGGCATAGCCTTCAATATCAGGGAAGATGTCTTCAACCCCGTTTGCCAAAATGAGCTTCTTTCCGGACCAGATATTGCCGGCTTCATCTGTGAGAGCAAAGCCTCCAGGTGTGAGGCCCTCGGCTTTGACAATGGTCGCGTCGCGGCTCGTGATTTGTGGGTAGTTGGCGAGAATGTTTGACAAGGCTTTGTCGCGGTATTCGGAGGGGGCCACATGATCGAATCCAGGAATTAAGTGCATGAAGCCAGCTCTATCGTTTCTGTAGGTCTTAGAATCCAAAATGACTGAGGTGTGGTCTTGACGGGCAAGAGTTAGAGCTGCTGTAAGACCAGCAGGGCCACCGCCCACGATGAGAACATCAAAAGAGCTAGTTTCGGTACTCATTTTGAATAGGAGGCAGAAATTGTAATGATGATAAAGTTTCCTTTCCCTGGAAATGAGGAGAGAGTAGTGGGGAAACGGTCTGGTGCGTCTGAGGGAACTAAAGTAAAATGAGGAGCGGACGAAACTAGACTTGAGGAAGATGCATGTATTTAAATAATAAAGCAAACTAACAACATCCGGGTGAGCCCACAAGGTTGATATGCAGGTCATATTCCTTTAAGAGCCGAGATATTCCCCGGCTTTATATACCAACTCTTCCACTTCTTAACCCCGCAGATTTGGGTAAAATTCTACAACTTGAGACGTTAATAAATCTGATATGTACGTTGAGTCAATTTCTAAATGAAATAGCAGCTTGGAGGTTGCTTTCTATCTACTGTGCGTCCTCCGGCTTCTGGCCCCAAACAAAGTAAACCCTCAAAGCCACCTTATACTTCTCCATCTCCTCAGCAAAACGCTTAGGCAGCTCCGTCCATTCCTCTTCTGTCAAGCCAATCATTTCAGGCCTATATTGTTAGCATTCCTTCATGGTTACCAGGAAGCAAAGGAACGTACTTAGCAACAGATTGGAAGAACCCAAGCACCGACAACATGTTACGAGCGCCACGCTCACCCATTTCTCGGTCAGGATTAGCTGACCCAGCAACCATATCAACGGCCTTATATCCAACATTAACAAAGCCATTTTCAGACAATCTTCCCGCAAGCTTTGTCGCAGCGAGTGGATCCGAGACCACACCGCTGGTCAACTTGTGAACTGTCTGAACAGCCTTACACGACTCAAGCGGCTCGGATACCGGAGTCTGGAAATCCATTTCAACAAGCTGGATCCAGCCTCCTGGCTTCACACATCCGGTCAAATTGGAGAGTACCAACGGGACTTCTTCGGCTTTGAACAATGGGATGACGAATCTCTGGTGGACGAAATCGAAAGCATTGCTCCAATCAGCAGGGAAGTCTTCGACTAGGCTTTGCTGAACAATCTTGAGGGGAGGGTTTGTACTGAGAGGTGGGTAGCCCTCCGGTCTGGTGATTGTCAGTATGGAGATGTTAGTAGGAAATATCTTAGCTTACGCGTTATCGAAACCAAGGAATTCAGTATCGTCTGGAAAGTCTGCTTTCACGTCCTTCATCCAGTACCCTTGCAAATTTTAGTATTCGCTTTTTTCCACAAGGTCGTAAATGGCTTACCGTCAGCTGTAGCGGCATCGAGAACACGCATCCCACGACGCTGCAAGTCAATTGGTGCCAGCACAAGGCCATCGGCGCCGCCTTTGAGCCACTCATGCTGGTTTTGCATGCGCTCTGCTTCTTCCACGTTACGGGGCAGGAAATATCTGCCTGTAGCTTCTGCCTTTTCTTCAGGAGACATTTTGGCACAAGAAAATGTTAAAATTTGGGTAATCTGTCGATTTATTTGAAGTTTGAGAGCAATTACTATCAACCAAAAGGGTATTCTTGCACATATATAGTACTAGCTTACAAGGTTCGATCTCAGAGTGTATGTAGTAAAGGCAAAAGACAAAACACAAGTAGCCATACACAGCGGACACGGACACATATCGGACATTAAATGCTATAGGAAAGGAATATTGATTTGTTGTCTCAACTTTTAGTCGGCGAGTATCTCGGAGGACCTTGGGGTAGCGGCGATAATGTTGCTCCGCTATTGGCCCCACATGACAGAGGAAATATGGTGCTTATAGCTACCTATGTTGTATGTACATGTATCTATCATCGAATGAGACAGACTGACTGGCTTGATATGCCCTTGAGGTTGGAAGAAGACCCACGTGTAGCTGCCAAGTAGACATGCAAAATGCAGGGCGGAGTATATGACCACTAGAATATAACTTTTTCAAATGCTTCTTGCAGTCCTCTACTCCCTAGCCACGCCTCCAGCGCTTGCATATCACCCCGATTGGCCCGCTGACCACCTCGTTCTCCCAGCGAGTCCGTAATTTCCTCCATCCCCGAAAACACTCTCTCAACGCCCTCTGTCTCCCGGAACCTCTCGCTGACCTTTTTCTGATGACTAGGGATATCACCCCAGGAATGTGTCTTGATGAAACTCATATAAGAATCGATATCAGACGATGCACCCTCAAGACACAATACTCCCGGTTTTCCCGCCAGCACGAAGCCCGTCAGAGCATATCCCGGCGCAAGGTTGACCATATCATCCCTCTTTTTACGTGTTGACAGAGACGGGAAATAGAACCAGACTCGGACAGTTGGCCCTCTGTCTGTGTTTTCTGGGGTCACAGTCTGGGACTGCTTGCTTTCAAGAAAGCGGCTAGCTTCTGCTTGGATGTACTCGAATGCCTCTAGGGCATCATCGCCTTGCGGTATTGAGGCAGTAAGTCCGGCGACTTCGGCTCTGGACATCCACTCTGGTTGTCGAAGCGAATATCCCAATGGCGGTGATTGGTCAAGTGTCTCTGGATTATCGCATTGCAGCGACACGGAAATGTTGACTTGTATTGTTTTATCTCCGTCTGCAATTGGTAGACAGACGGTGAGAGAAATACTTGACGGGATTTTAGGAGGTGAGGAGGTCGGATTCTCGCACCAGTCGCGGAGTCTCTCGACACACTGCGTTGTGGATTCGGGGATTTCCAGCTCACCCGGAGACGGGAACATCGCCATTAGGAGGTCAATTGTGGATAATTGGGACTCCATTATATCCGCCGGTAAAATGGATAGTTCTTCAAAGGCCATATTTTTTTACTGCAGATGCGGAAGTCACCGATATCGAACAAGTTGCATAAAATCGTGTGTAGAGTGATTTTTGAGCTGATCACATCCGAAATGTGTGGAACTAGCAGTTGTGGCTCTGGCTTGTGGGTGTTCAAATGAATTTGTTAGGAGGAACACTGTGATATAAAATTGGACGGTTGGTTTCTCGGGCACGTCTTTTTTTCAGATCATCAAGATGAGGTCTTGAAATTGCCTATCTTGGATACACCCAAGGGCCGACCTCGGGACCTCGCCCCGGGCAAACAAATCTTATGTAATCACATATCAGATCCATCCATTGTGGGCGCCTAGGGTTGTATACGCACTGAAGTCGATCATCGGAGATTTAACAAACCACAAAGACTTTTAAACAAACTACCAAAAGAACTGCCAAAAAAGACATGACAAGACCACATAAGCTACTTTGAAGGTGTAGGTCGAGGAAGTTACTCGCCTACATATGTACCTGTTCAGGTAGCACGAAGTAACAGAAAGAAACCAGGGATTGGACACCGTACGCCAACGTGTAGATGCTGTTCAAGTGAACGAGGCTTCGAGTATACTACGGAAGACAGAGAAGGCTTTTTGGATGATTTCAAAAATAAGCTGTACGATAATAACCCGGCATGTGTCATCCAGATGGCGGAGTCTTTCTTTTTGCTGCCACTCATAAAAAACCCAGGAGAGAACGCAGTGCCAAGGTGGTAAAAAGCAGTGGTGGAAATGAATTTCCAGGAAGGGTTGAATATAAGCACGACATTGCTTCTTGCTAGATTTTATCTTGATAATCCGATCTGATTGACCCAAAACAATAATAGGAATATTATGTGGAAGAACACTCGGTATGTTTTTGTCTTTTAGATGTGCTCTTTTTATAGGTGAAGACGGCAAAAAGTATAAAACTGTGCAGAGGGCTTCTCTATGTATAGCCTTTAAATTATGTGGGGTCATTGCAATGAGCTCTATCGAGAGATCAACAGATGCATATAAAGAGAATATGTATCCGAAGACGTCTTACTATGTGATGATATGTAAATGTGGAATATAGAATATATAGATCGGCATTTGAGTCATAGTCATAGAGTGCCGATAAAATCCCCCACCTGGGCTCCCCACCAACCTTGGAACTTCAACATCTCACATTCTTCGCCACAATGGCTTCAAAATCTCCCTTTAATTTGGCCACATGCGCCCGTCCTAATATCCTGGCATTGCAGCCTTACCGATGTGCCAGAGAGTATGTGCTACCCTTTCCGAATCACCGGTATCGGCGAGCTAATGAGTCAGTGACTACAAAGATGATGGGACGAACGTCCTCCTCGACGCCAACGAGAATGCCTTTGGCCCTGGTCTTGCCCTGAACAGCGAGGGAGCATTGCAATCCTCCCCGACCGGCAATGCCACGGGAGCCTCCAAGCCGGAGATTGACTTCCTCGGTCTGAACCGCTACCCCGATCCGTGAGTGAAATTCTACCGTCGCGTCCCATTCAGACCAATGTGAACTAACAATGCGTGCCTCCCAGTCACCAGATTGAGCTGAAGCAGCTCTTCTGCAACCTCCGCAATACCCACCACCACACCCCGAAGACCCTCCTTCCCGAGCACATGTTCTGCGGAGTTGGCTCGGACGAAGCCATTGACGCGCTCCTACGCTGCTTCTGCGTCCCCGGCAAGGACAAGATCCTCACATGCCCCCCGACCTACGGAATGTACAGCGTCAGCGCGCAGGTAAACGACCTCGAAATCGTCAAGGTACCACTCGACGCTACGAACGGGTTCCACCTCCAACCCGATAAAGTCAACGAGGCCCTATCGGCCGACCCATCAATCAAGCTGGCCTACATCTGCTCGCCGGGCAACCCGACCGCGAATCTGATCCGCAAAGAGGACATCCGCAAGGTCCTCGAGCACCCAACATGGAACGGCATCGTGGTGGTCGACGAGGCATATATCGACTTTGCGCCGGAAGGCTCTAGTCTGGCAGAGTGGGTGACCGAGTGGCCCAACCTAGTCGTCATGCAGACACTCAGCAAGGCATTCGGTCTGGCCGGTATCCGTCTCGGTGTGGCCTACGCCAGTGTGGAAGTCGCACGTCTTCTCAACAGCCTCAAGGCGCCTTATAACATCTCCAGCCCTACAAGCGCGCTCGCATCTGCGGCACTCACCGCACCCAACATGGCAGTGATGCACAGTTTCCGTTCGCAGATCATCGCGCAACGCGACCGTTTGCTCACGGAGCTACCGACGATCCCCGGTGTGGGGCAATTCCTTGGCGGTAGTGATGCCAACTTTTTGCTCGTGCAGATTTTGGACGCCGAGGGCCGACCGAGTAACGTGACTGCGCTTGCGGCTTACGAGGCTATGGCGGAGAAACGTGGTGTGGTTGTCCGCTTCCGTGGGAAAGAACTTGGGTGTGAGGGTTGTCTCCGTATCACTGTCGGTACGGAGGCGGAAGTTACTAAGTTCCTTCAGGAGTTACGGATTGTCTTGAGCGGGCTTCGCGCTGGGTCTGGAATTGAGTCGCTTCGTGATGAGAGGCGGGAAGACTCGGCGGCAGCTGTGGTTGGATGAGCGTTGCGCGATTAATCTTTGGGAGAATCATAAGGTTTGGCGAGATAACATTGTCCGTCGGAGGTACGGACGTAGATAATCTTGGCCTCATTGGACTCATTGGACTTAATTCATTGGGGGCTAAAATACGATATCAAGAATCGAAGTACGAAGTACTCCGTAAGAACCATGGAACTGCCCACTCGCTTATCTTATTTCCTTTTGGCCTCTTAATATCCCCTGTTCATCTATGGATCTGTGCCCAAGTGGATATCCGATCCATGGATATATACAGACTTTATCTTGAAAGGAGTAAAAGTCCACGTGTACATCGTAAACCCTTGCACTCCGTAAATCCTTGTAAATCCTTACTCCGTATAACCAACGCCCGTTCCCCCTCCGTGTTATAACAGGGCATATAGCTACTCTGTACATAATGTAACCAAATCACCCTCATTGGAGGAAGATTACTCCGTAGACAATGTCATGCTAAGGCGATTACCATTATTTCTTTGTTCCATATGATCGTTCACCGTAACACAGATCTGAAAAGGTGAGACGTTTAAAAAAGTATGAATAAAGTGTGAATCTCCTCCCCCCCCATCCCCCCGAATCTCCCCTGATTAGCCAGTCGAATGTCACTGGCTGTGTTTATATGGGAGGCTTGGCTTATCTAGTCATCCTTGATCATTTTCCCCTCTCTCGTCTTCCAAGGACATTTTAACCATTTGAAACTTTTTATTAATTTCCCCTATCTCTCCCGATTCATTACTCCGTACAAGATGATCTTATATTATCTTCCCCATCTGTCAAGATCGTCTTCATTTTGGTCTCCGCAATCCTGCCCTATAACCCTGACCTAAAACATCCCCACACTTTCCCACGTGTGAGCAATGTAAAAGCACTGTGAATCGCTTTCTGCGCTTCTGCTGTTTTTTTTACTTGCATAATGGCCTCCATGGCCTCCGTGGCCATGTCGCTGGTCCCGCGTGGCATTTATCAAGAGACACCACCAGCTTTCCAGAGCAGAAATGAGATCAATCCGACCCTTATGATGAGCTGGTGGGCTACTATCTTCTCATTGGTTATCATCGTCGTCCGAGTATGTGGTCGTTATATTCGTGTGGAACGCTTTTTCACCGAGGACAAAGTCATGATGATCGCCGTCATTCCCTTGATGATTCGCATGGTCCTCGTGCACTTCGTTCTCATCTTGGGAACCAACAATACCACCACCACAGGCTTGACGGAGAAGGAGATAGCGAACAGAGAACTAGGCAGCAAGCTAGTTCTTGCGGCACGTATCTTCTACGCCATCTTGTAAGACAACACCCATTGGATCTGCTAGTTCAAAAGTGACTCACAAAAAAACTATAGCATTTGGACCGCCAAAGTGACCGTATGCGAATTCCTAAAGCGAGTCACAGGGCTTACCTGGCGCCGATCAACAACCTTATTCCTCCGCTTCATCTCCTTCTTCCTCATCTCAACCCTAGTGGCCGTGGTCATCGCAACCCTAGCTGAATGTCAGCCCTTCGACCACTACTGGCAGGTCACCCCAGACCCAGGCCCAACCTGCCGCAGCGGCTACGTCAACCTAATAACAATGGGCACCTGCGACGTGATAACCGACCTCCTCCTCGTCGCCATCCCAGTCCCCATAATCCTCATGGTGCAAATGCCTCTCAAACGCCGTCTCGCCCTGGCATCCCTCTTCTGCCTATCCCTGATACTAGTCGCCATAACCTGCTACCGCGTCCCCTCGGTAGTCGATCACAGAGGCTCCCAACCATACCGCTCCCTCCTCGCCTCCTTCGAAATCCTCGCCGCAACAGCAGTCTCAAACGTCCTAGTAATAGGCTCCTTCGTCCGAGACCGCGGCGTCAAGAAACTAAAATACAAACGCGCCCAAGGCTCAGCCTCTGTCACAGAAAGCATGGATAAATCCTTCTTCCGCAGAAACACAGTCATGCAACACCAATGGGGCTCAGACTCAGAACTAGCAGATGGTCTGGGAATCCGTCTAGACCCAGAGATATACAAACTCCCCAGCACCTCGGATGGAACCCGCGTTGCAATTCCAAGACCACCACCACCAATATCCCCATCATCCCCATCATCCCAAATGCCCTTGGCCATGGCAAAAACAGGAAACCTTGATCCAACTTGGTCGTTCACTGCCCCCCGTCGCTCAGACGACGACCGCTCCGCGACAGATAGTCTCGGACCGAAAGTCATGCCGCGCGAGTACCTGCGCACAAACGAGTCCCCGCGCGAGATATCGCCCACGTCGGAGATGTCGCGGCGTGTCTCGTTCTCGGATGTTGGCGGTTTGCTTACAAGATCAGCCCCGGAGTCTGGGTCCGATCATGTGCGTGCCCAGACTACCTTGTCCTCTCCTGTGGAGCCTATGCAGCGTCGCAGAGGCCCCGGGAGTAGGGCCTTTTGGAGGATTTGGGAATCTTTGGGCTGTCGAGAGCTACGCATGGGCCTCGGTCGCCGGTTCCTGGTCCTGCGGATCTGCCGTTCCCGGCGTCGGCTTTTGGTAGGCCGCGTTTGATTTCAATGTCAGCGTCTTCGGATTTGACGACCGATGCTGATGTTGAGCTTCATGATGTTGGTGGGTTGTTATCGCGACATGGGCATTGACACTTGACATTTCTGAGGTTGATGCGATGTGATGTGATATGACATGATGTGATGGCTCTCTTTCTTTTTTCTTTTTTCTTTCTTGGTTATTTTGGGTCGAGGCTTGTTGTCTCCTGTACATGGAATATTTGGCTGGAGTCTCTTTTGGTTTGAGACTATGTACACATCTTGCATTCCCCTATACCTTTTTCTTTGTTCACTACTTCCTTTCTCTGTTCTTTTTTTTATTCCCCCTTATGCGATTGTTAGGGTTGGCGTTGGAGATGTTGCCTCTCGAGATCTTTTCAACCCTTCCAATGACTCGGGCATGACTGGCACTCTTTCTATTTGGAGCCTTGCTAATAATGTACACCTACATAACTATTATCTACATATATACTACTATCTATATACATTCACACCAAGATATTTCGCAAGTTAATTCATATCATATCGAGATAAGAACGGACCCGTCGACGACTTGTACGACTAGTCGTACACATTGCCTCCACTGAGCTCTCTGACCTTGAGATGCCATTGTACTCCATACAAGCCTTGCCTTTATCAAACTCTCTACCTGGTGCAGACCCGCCCTTCTTTAAGCCCAGTACGCAGGTAGTTGTATGAAGCATCTTACTCCATGCCTTAGCTTGTAACAGTAAGTAAAGAATACTTTTAGGAAATTATACTAACAGCTTTGTATACAGAGTTCTAGTCACAGGGCTGTAACGATAGACTACTAGAATGTTTCTGCCTTGAGACTAAAATGGGCATAAATTTCCTTCCAACTTGTATCTACCCAATCCATAAAATGTTTGCCTACAATTACCTTCGGGCTATAATGTATGCATAGCGATTGAAAATAATGGATTAGGTAAAACATCATGAAACGACTCGAGGAAGAGTAAACAAGAAGGTAGTGTAAAAGATAAAGATGTAGTACAATTGAGGCTCAACCCCCAGGACCCAAGAACGCCATGTCCTGTTTTGCGCCAGCGATAAGTAATAAAAGTCAAGGATATATACGAAGGGAACGGGAAAAAAAACCAATCAAATCAAACCCCGAGACCAGTTTCCAACCGAGGATTCACAGAAGCACCAAATCCCCGAGTCAAAAAAAGCTAATCCCAGGAAACGCAGAAACGCCAGCCTCTATCTCGATATTTCTCAAGAGTGTGGTGCATACACGGGCATAGCGACTCAACAAGCCACCTCAACACCAACCAAAAAAACCCAATACAGATTTGCGTAGTAGCGTAGTCGCGTGTCAAAAATCAAGACCAAAAGGCAGATCTAGAACAAGATATCCAAACAGCAGCAACAGGCCATCGCAGCCATGATACCTGCACAGATACCACCTGCACCACTGCCGCCAGAGCGTCCGCGGTCATTGGCATAGTAACCCTGTTGCTGTTGAGGGGGGTAGCCCTGCTGCTGAGGTGGGTAATACATCGGCTGCTGGCCCTGGGGGTAATAGCCCTGCTGGTTTTGCTGGGGCTGGCCATAACCTTGCTGGGGTGGGTAGTAGCCCTGCTGTTGGGGCTGGCCGCCGCCGTAGTAGTCGTTTGCGGCGCCGGAGTTTTGTTGGTAGTATGGGCCTGCATCGTGGGCTTGGGCCGGGTAGGAAGGTGGTGGACTCGTCTGGAAGAGGTTAATATTTTGGTATTGGGGGTATACTGGGGTTTGCGATTGATTTATTGGTACGGAGTACTTACTGGCTTGTTGTAAGACATAGTGGGAATTGAAGGTGGAGTTCTCGGGTGATGTCAGACTTAGTGCTGATTTGGGGAGATTGCGCTGTAAGTGTGGATATGGGAGATTTTTCTCCGTTGGATTGTGAACTGGAATAACTCGAAATCGGCGCAACAGCAAGGAGAGAGGGGTGCAGATGAGATTAAAGAATGAGGAAGCGCCGGAATCGAGAGAGAGTTGCAGTGGCGCAGTTCGGGGCTTAGTCAACCTTTTTCCAGGGTTTTCCGAGTTCCAAGGTTTTATACTTACGCGGCCTCATTTTTACTCTTTTACTCTTGAGGCAGACGGTAAACTGGATTCTAGAAATTGGTGCCTTTTCGGCTCTGCTTTTCTTCGCTTTCGCCTTCGAACTAGTCAGATACCTGTAGTTACAGCCGAAATTTCCTATACTGTAAACCTATTCCTGTCAGTAGACTTCGGCCTCTACATTTGATATTACATTTTTATATACTATTTAGGTCTTACACCATGCATGATGCTAGTATCAGGGTTTCAAGTGGAGCTAGTACAGTTCCCCCTCTTGCCCAGGTATCAGTAGCCTATATGCACGTAATTAAACTCTAGCCATCCATGAACGATCTACAACTTCCCCGCCCCAACTCGAAGTGACAGCCATTCATAGATTGGATTCATCTAGACATACAAAGACACGGCCATTATGTAAAATCACAGGCAAACCCCCCATCGCAATCCCCCAAAGGAGAAACTTCGCGCCTATACGCCATGCTGCCCATAATACAAGGGGGAGACCAAAAACTTTTTTTGTGTTTGTTGAATGTGAGTCGATGAGGAAAAAAAATAACTCCCAAGTGTCCACTTCTGTCTGGCATCAGCTGCTCTTCCTCGACTGCCAATTAGGTATTTCCTGTAGACCTGCGTGGTATGGATAGCGGTCATATCGGAGACAGTGAAGTGGACTTGATGCGATTCGAATTTGCGAGGTCGAGGTTCAGAGGAACCGGGGTTTGGTTCTTTGGATTTGCAAACCCCCCAAATGAAAGAAGAGAAACGAAGAGAAAGATCTAGCGTTCATTTTGAAGAGTCGCATCAATCTTCCTGTTCCATTTCCAGCAACCTTGTTGTGCAGCTTAAATAACCCAGCGGTAACTGGCATAGCGACCTGCAGTTTCAGACTTGCGGATAATCTTAACAACCTGGCCACGGCGCAAACCAAGGTAGCGGGCGACAGGGTCAGAGATCTGTATACGGGGCAGCTGGGACTCCTTCAGACGGTAGCGCTCGAGGAGCTTGCTCTTCTCCTCGGGGCTAAGCAGGACGTGCTTGGGGACCAGCTCATGGCGGGTGATGTTGACGAGCAGATCCTGTTCCTGGAAGTGCTCGCAGATGCGGCCGGGGACACCGGAAAGCAGGCGCACGGCGGAGGGCGAGATCGGCGTCTGCGTGATGAAGATACCGGTGTGGAAGTTGTTCTCATCGACAAGGTGGTTGAAGGCGCGCACTTGCTTGGTTCCGACACCTGAGGAGTCGGGGCAGAAGTCGACATAGATTGTGCCGCAGTCTGGCTGGGGGTTTGGGTTTGCCTTGCTGGGCAGTGCTGTGTACTTCAACTTCATGCTATCGGTGGGGCGGGCTTGGATTTTCATCTTGGTGCGACTGTTGTTGCGGAGCAGTTTGTTAGTGATGTGTGTCTTTTCAATGATGTGTGTCCACATTGCTCGGTTCAAGTTTTCACTATCTCGAGACAATAGAATGGTGGGCGCAAGGATTTCACATACTCAGGGTAGCCCAGAGGGTCAGCATATTTTGCGCGGAAGTCTTCTAGCGGGAGTACCAGCTCGTTGTCAGACACTTCGTAGCCCTGGTGTGTCGCTAATGGTTAGCCTTGGGTAAATGGGCATTATGAGAGAGACACTGAGAAGTCAGGGACTCGATCTGAAGTGCCTACCCGGTCAGCGAGCAGTTCATAGACTGTTCTAAAGGTGCGCCAGAGCCGAGTCATCTCGCGCTCGGCCTCCATGGAGTGTGCCGAATCCCCATCCATGATGGAGTGAGTAGTCAATGACTAGAATAGAAAAGGAAAATAAGAGGTTATCTCGTCAAGAGACTTTCACAAAAAAAACGGGTAGAAAGAGCTCCGGTGGAGAGATAAAGGTGAAGTCGAAAAATCGGCGGGAACTTTCTGCCAGCGACGCTTAAGCGGAGAAACCGACCGAACCATTTTAATTATTCCAAGTTTCCCCTTTTCAGTTTCGCTTTGGTCTCGTTGGTCTATTTAATCCCTTCAGGATCCTAAGAAGGCAATTTGTCTCTTCCTTCTCTCCGACTCTCTTTTACATTCAATTCGTTGCAATGGCTGCCACTGATGGGGAGCGGGTTAAGCCCACCAAGCCCGATGAGGCCGCCTACAAGACCAGTCTCGCTGAGGCCGAGAAGGAGCACACTGCTGCTCAGGAGAAATTGGTATGGATGCTTTTTTTTGGAATTGTTTCACTGAGCCCTCATCTGACTTGGGTCGCGGGGATGATCCCGACCCACTTTGATTGTTGATTGTCCTCGTGTTCATTATTTACTTGCATCCCATGTCCTCGGGCCAATGACTGATATGCGCAACAGAACCAAATCAAGGCCAAGTTGGACAACGCCAAGCCCAACAACCAGGATTCGCCCACCGTTAAGAAGCAGCAGGAGCTGCGCGCCGAACTCTCAGCCATTCGCCAAAAGCAGTCCGGTTTCAAGTCCAGCCGGTCCTCCACCCAGGAGAAGATCAACGCCTTGGATGCCAACCTCAAGGCCCGCATTACCGAACAGAACAACTCCCGCGGACGTCTGTCATTCAAGAGTGTCGAGGAGATCGACAAGGAAATCGCCCGTCTTGAGAAGCAGGTCGACACTGGTACCCTCCGTCTGGTGGATGAGCGCAAGGCTCTCACCGAGGTCTCCAACCTGCGCAAGCAGCGCAAGAGCTTCGCCGGTCTGGATGAGGCACAGAAGGGCATCAACGACATCAAGGCACAGATCTCCGAATTGCGCAAGACCCTCGACAACCCCGAGGCCAAGGCCCTGAGCGACAAGTACGCCGAGATCCAGAAGGAGCTCGATGCCATCAAGGCCGAGCAGGATGGTGTCTTCAAGAACCTGAACGCTTTGCGCGATGAGCGCACCAAGCTGCGCAACGAGCAGCAGGAAAAGTATACTGCCATCCGCACTATTAAGGATACC